TTAAGGAGCTCATTAACTCAAATTACTCTGTCACCTCAATGCAAGAAATCGGCGGAGAGACAGCTGGTATATCAAAAAACTCGGTAGTCGAGACACTCGTAAGTCAAGGCCCCACTGTACTTACTTGTCGTTTCAATGATTCAGAGATGACAAGTCCGTTCTAACCCACCACCTAGAAAGCGACAGCGCCTGGTGCATCTCCTTGCTGATGCCCATATCAGGCAGTCTTCCCAGCCACCATGCCATGGTCTGGGGGAGGCCCCCACCCCACCCCCACATTTATTTTTATTTACCTATTTATTTATACTGTTTAATCCTCACCTGAGGATATATATATATATTAATATATTTTATTGATTTTATATAGAGAGGAAGGGAGAGGGATAGTTAGAAACATTGATCAGCTGCCTCCTGCACACCCCCTACTGGGGATATGGCCACAACCAAGGTACATGACCTTGACCAGAATCGAACCTGGGACCCTTCAGTCTGCAGGCCGATGCTCTATCCACTGAGCCAAACTAGTTAGGGCATGAGGCTATTTTTTCCACTTCTTTTTTGAGAGTGGAAGGGAGAGGGGAGGAGAGAGAAAAAGGGCAACATCTATGTGAGGGAAACACATCCATTGGTTGCCTCCTGCAAGCACCCCAACCAGGGGCAGGAAGCGAACCCACAACCCAGGTATGTGCCCTTGACCAGGAATCAAACGTGTGACCCTTTGGTCTGTTGGCCGACGCTCTAACCACTGAGAACACTGGCCTGGGCTATTTATTTTTTTAACAAGGGGGAGGACAAATCCCATGCATGAAGCCACTGAGGAGCTGGCGTGACCCCTCCTCCTGGGAACGGTCACAGGTGGTTTATTTCCAGGCCAAACGTGGAGTGAAATATTGGGCTCACTGTTGGGCAATTCTGCTTGTTGCACCCCAAGTTCTAGAAAAGCGAGTCCACACGTAGTGAACAATGCACCGTTGCTAAGTGGGGTTTATTCCAATAATACGAAGATGGTAAGTTAGAAAATCTCTATAAATTCAACTGTGTCTCCATAACAAGGAAGGAAACCCCTATCATCATTTCTGAGAAACGCCAAGAAAGTTTGGTCAAATTCAGCATCGAATGCTGATTTCTCAAAGGCTTAACAGCCCTGGCCAGGTAGCTCAGTGGGTTAGAGCATCGTCCTGATACGCCAAGGCTTGCAGGTTCAATGTCTGGTCAGGGAACCATGAAAGTATAAATGGAACAACAAATCAATGTTTCTCTTTCTCTCCCTCTCTTTCAAATCAATAATTAAAAATCATTTTAGCCCTAGCCGATTTGGCTCAGTGGATAGAGCGTCAGCCTGTGGACTGAAGGGTCTCAGGTTCAATTCTGGCCAAGGGCACATGCCCGGGTTGTGGGCTCAATCCCCAGTAGGGGGCGTGCAGGAGGCAGCCAATCAATGATTCTCTCTCATCATTGATGTTTCTATCTCTCCATCTCCCTTCCTCTCTGAAATCAATACAGAAATATATATATATATTTTAAAATATATTTTATTGATCTTTTAGAGAGGAAGGGAGAGGGATAGAGAGTTAGAAACATCGATGAGAGAGAAACATCGATCAGCTGCCTCCTGCACACCCCCCACTGGGGATGTGCCTGCAACCAAGGTACATGCCCTTGACCGGAACCGAACACGGGATCCCTCAGTCCACAGGCCGACGCTCTATTCACTGAGCCAAACCAGTCAGGGCTGGAAATATATATATATATATTTTAAAATGGTTTTAGCAAATGGGGTCTATAAAGGTAATTCACTAATGTAAACAGTCAGGGCCAGGGGCTGGCATTCTCTGAATAGTGAAATACTAGCTCTGTTTCCCTCAAGTCAGAATGAACACCCGGGTGCTGTGCCAGTGAGGAGGGCAGCAGCTGTGCGGACTGAGGCCGTTTTTTTGTGTGTTTTTTTATGCAGCAAGAACTCAGGGAGCTGAATGTCGGTGCTGAAACAGTTGCTCAAAAATTTTATCCAAGGCCTAGGATCCTGTGGTTTTCCATTTCACCAGGTGTGGCTTCTGTCAATCGTCTCATGGTTGCAAAATGACTACCACACCTCTGGGCGCTGCATCCAAGTTCCAGGCAGGAGGGAGGAAGGAATAATATTTCTATCAGGAAAGCAGAGGCTTTTTCTTCGTCTCTGGCCGACCTCCACTGGAGCCTCATGGGACAGAACGGGGCCATGCGACCACCCCAGCTACAACTGCGTCTTAGAGGCCAAATGTTCTGAGATGGACGCACATCTACCTCAGATGACCACTGTCCCCAACACAGTGGTGCTCTGGAAGTGCTGGCCAATGTGCGTGTGTTTTTTCTTAAAGTTTTTTAAAAATATATTTTATTGATTTTTTTACAGAGAGGAAGGGAGAGGGAAAGTTAGAAACATCGATGAGAGAGAAACATCGATCAGCTGCCTCCTGCACACCCCCTACTGGGGATGTGCCCGCAACCAAGGTACATGCCCTTGACCGGAATCGAACCCGGGACTCTTCAGTCTGCAGGCCGACGCTCTATCCACTGAGCCAAACCGGTTAGGGCAGTTTTTTTGGTGTGTGTGTGTGTGTTTTTAAATTGATCTGAGAGAGAAACAGCATTTGTTGTTCCACTTTTTTATGCATTTATTGTTCGATTCTTGTATGTGCCCTGACCAGGGATGGAACCCACAACCTTGGTGTGTAGGGACGATGCTCTGACCAACTGAGCCAGCCAGCCCCAGCCCAATGTGGGTTTTAAGAAAAAATGAAATAAAAGGCTGCCTATATGGAAAGGGGGGGCAAGCTTTTTATTTCCAACTGATACGACTGTTTACCTAGAAAACCTAATAAACTGAGAAGCTGTTAGAGACCTTAGAGCAGTGGTTCTCAACCTTCTGGCCCTTTAAATACAGTTCCTCATGTTGTGACCCAACAATAAAATTATTTTCGTTGCTACTTCATAACTGCATGTTGCTACTGTTATGGATCATAATGTAAATATCTGATATGCAGGATGGTCTTAGGCAACCCCTGTGAAAGGGTCGTTCGACTGCCAAAGGGGTCGCGACCCACAGGTTGAGAACCGCTGCCTTAGAGTAACTCAGTAAAGTTGTTAGGCATGAAATAAATACACAAGAAGATATATATATATATATATATATATATATATATATATATATATATATATATATATATATATATAAAATCAACAGTGGTCCTATATATCTTAAAACAAAAATACCTAATTTACAAACCCCACAAAATCAGAATGAACTTAAGAATAAATGTGAGAACACTTATGTAGAAAACTGTAAAATTTCTCTGATGGTTAGAGGTAGATTTGAATGACGTTATCTACCACATTCTTTTATGTGAAGACCGTATTACATGGAACTTCATTTTTCACAAACTAGTCAATTCTAATCAAAATCCCAATGACATATGCAGGGGCGTGAAGAAGTTAAGTTCTGAGAAAATGATACCTGGCTCACCTGGAGGAACAGATAAAACAAGATCTTTTCAAAGCTGCTGAAGATGTGGATGGTAAAGTGAAGTATGGAGCTTCAATCAAAGGAAAGACAGGCCTATGAACGGTGAGGAATGCAATTCAACAACGATGCAGGGACCTTAAATTTTATATACCAAATAGAGGGAGGGTGAAAAGATAAATATAAAATATTGAACCAAAAATAGACTTAAGAGGCTTTCTAAGCGCCAAAGAGAAACAGAAAGGAAAAAAATCTAATAGGCCTTATCACACAGAATTTTAAAACCTCTGTACATAGCCGAAACCGGTTTGGCTCAGTGGATGGAGCGTCGGCCTGCGGACTGAAGGGTCCCAGGTTCGATTCCGGTCAAGGGCATGTACCTGGGTTGCGGGCATATCCCCAGTGGGAGATGTGCAGGAGGCAGCTGATCGATTCTCTCTCATCGATGTTTCTAACTCTCTATCTCTCTCCCTTCCTCTCTGTAAAAAATCAATAAAATGTATAAAAAAAAAAACAAAAAAAAAACCTCTGTACATAAAAAATGCAGTAACAAAGGTAGAAAATGTATGTGCTAAGGCGATATATATGAGTGTGTATATATTTATATGTGTGTATATATATTAAAAAACAAAGAGCGGAATAGTGGACAAAAGATAGGAATAAACAATTTCATATGAAAGGGGGAGAAGGTAGAAAAAAATGAATAACATTGTAAGGTATCAAAATGCCAAATATGACAAGTGAAGCGATCGTGTGCTTGCTATGGTGCCCATATACTAAACAACTGGCACTTCAGGGCACCCAGCGGACAAAGGGCCCAGGACCCATGAAGAAGGTTTTGTTTCTTTTAAAAAGAAAGAGAAAAATTGGGATGATAACCATGAATCAAGCCTAGACTGTTATTTGTGTTTTCCCGGCGCAGATGTGATGTAGAACTTTTCTTATTTGTCACAGAGAAGGGCCTCTGACTGCCAGGTGTCCCCGGGGACCGCACGACACCAGGCCAGCTCACAGACATTCGGAGGCAGGCGATGGAGGTGCCCAGGCTCATCGCTGTGTCGTCACCGTGCCCTGAACAAAGACCGTCTGATGTCCACTCTGAACAGTGCCTGCGTCCAGATGACGTGCAAGGACGTTCCTACTGGTTGGTTCCTTGGTAAGGAAACGTATTACTTTGCAAACACACAACCAAAAACATCCTGAGATGATTCCTTAAGCTACTCATTTCCTTTATCTAAAAAATTTCATTTCTAGAAATCTACTCTACGAAAATGCTAAAGTATAACCCAAAAATGCTCCATGAAGAATGATTTATAATAGTGAAAAAAATAGAAATAACCTCAACAGCCAACAAAAGACTAATAGAATACTATGCTTCCACTTAGAATTATGACTCCACAGACAGTGCAGTCACTTGGAAAAAAATTCTATGCAGCTAAGCGGGGGTGGATTAAAATGACATATCTACTATGTTTAAAGTGATGAAAACAGAAATAATGTATCAAAGTGCGAAATGCAGCTTTATTAAGAATTATGGGTGTTTTCTCTCATTTATTCCACATTCTCTGAAATGTGGTTATCTTGCCTCCATAATTTAGAAAGTATAAGAAAAAGCATTTCATAAACTAGAGTGCTCTATACAAATGTCAAGTATTATCACGGAGAAGGCCTCTTATACTTGCTGAGAACTGAGTAGAAAGAACATTAATTCCAGATGAACACGGGTCCTCCTGTCCCTGCAGGGAACGTGGGGATGGTCTGGGGGCTTCTCCCTCGGGGTGGCACTGCTGAGCTGAGCCTCATGGTGTGAGGGGAGGCCCGGCAGGCAGCCCCAGCCTGGGGGGAAGGTGCACTTCTAGGCCCATCTATCCGGACACTGCACCCACCCTCCCCGACCCACCGGGCTCCGCCTGCCACCGTGGGGCCGGCACGTCTGATGCTGACTGTGCTTCGGGGACGTGGGTGCGGCCTCTAGCGAAGGACTCTGGGTGGAGCCACTTGTGAGGTGAGTCCAGGAAACCCGCTTGTCCCCAGACTCCCGCCTCTAACAGCATCCTCCTCGCCAGCAATAATGTTTGCTTGGAGGCACTACTGTTCATAATTCTGATTTAAAAAATTCTTCCTGTTATTCTAAATATCAGTCCACAGATGAAATTCTTGACCTAAGTCATGCCAGGAGCCTGAGGACATGATTGACAGACCTTTTATCTGCAGGAAAGACCTAATCCCCTGGTGGACTCCCAAACCCACCAGAGGAAGCAGGACCCTGGGACATCAACCCCACTCCCCACAGGGCATCCCTTCTCCGGGAGGGCGGGACGCTCCTGGGAGGGGTCTGCTGCGGCACATACAGGAGTCCCTGTGCTCCCCGTTCCCCAGGGAAGCGGCCAGGTGACAAGCACACCAGGCTACTTCCCAGGTTTGCTGCCCAGGGGCAAGTTCCTGCTGGCGGAGGGCTGAACCACACACAGGAGCTCTGCCACGTCCAGGGAGTTTACGGGGTCCAAGCCGCCGGCACCCAGCAGACCGCTGGGAACACAGTATGTGCTCAGCAGATGCTTGTTGAGCTGGATGGCAAAGGGCTTCTCTTCGCGGTGTGTCCTCTGGTGCTCAGCGAGGTGGGTGCTCCAGCTGAACGCTTCGCCACACTCGTTACATTTAAACGGCTTCTCCCCAGAGTGGGTTTTCTGATGTTTAATGAGACAGTGGTTCTGGCTGAACGCCCGGCCGCACTGGCCGCACTTATAGGGCTTCTCGCCCGTGTGGATCCGCTGGTGCACGATGAGGGACGACTGGCAGCTGAAGGCCTTCCAGCAGCGACTACAGTCGAACGGCTTCTCCCCCGTGTGTACCCGCTGGTGCACGATGAGGTAGGAGTGGGAGCTGAAGGCTTTCCCACACTCGTTGCACTTGAAGGGCTTCTCCCCGCTGTGGATCCGCTGGTGCACGACCAGGTAGGAGTGGCAGATGAAGCCCTTTCCGCAGTCCCCGCACGTGAAGGGCTTCTCGCCCGTGTGGATCCTCTGGTGGAGGGTGAGGCGCGACCGGTTGTTGAAGGCCTTCGCGCAGTCGCTGCATTTGAAGGGCTTGTCGCCGTTGTGGATCTTCTCGTGCACGGTCAGGGACGAGTGGCAGGTGAAGGCCTTCCCGCACTCGCCGCACTTGTAGGGCTTCTCCCCCGTGTGGATGCGGTGGTGCCGGGTCAGGTGCGTCCTCTGGTTGAAGGCCTTCCCGCACTCGCCGCACTTGTAGGGCTTCTCCCCGGTGTGCACCCTGCGGTGCATGCTGAGCAGCGAGCTGCAGCTGAAGGCCTTCTCGCAGCCCGTGCACTTGTAGGGCCGCTCGCCGGTGTGCGTCCGGTGGTGCACGTTCAGCGACGAGTGGCAGCTGAAGGCCTTCCCGCACTCGCCGCAGAGGAAGGGCTTCTCCCCGGTGTGGCTCCTCTGGTGCTCCAGGAGGTTGGTCCTCCAGGTGAAGGCCTTGCCGCACTCGCTACACCGGTAGGCCTTCTCCCGGGCGTGCCAGCGCTGGTGCAGGCTGAGGGCCGAGCGCTGGTGGAAGGCCTTCCCGCACTGGCCACACGCGAAGAGCCCCTCCCCGGCCCCCGCGCTCGGATGCCTGTGGGCGGGCGGCGTCCCGTGTTCACTGGCCTGGCAGCCGTTTCTCCCCGGGCCGGGGGACAGCCTCGGGTGCTGGGAGGCAGCCTCCGGGGACTGGCGGTTCTCGGTGCGTCCGTGAGGAGGCCCTCGCTCTGTCGGAATGAGAGTCCCTGTGCTCTGCTGGGTGGAGAGGGGGCACCCGAGGGGCAAAGCCTCCACAGACGCCCCGTGTCCCGGCCGCTGCTCCACTGTGGAACTCTCCCCACAGCCGGGGGGCCCGCACCTCCAGAGCACAGCCTCCCCTCTCGACAGAGCGGCCGCCGGGCCCTCCCAGGCCCACCCGGCGCCTGGACCGAGGCCGTGGAGACAGGACCTCGGCGGCCCCTCCACCACCGACTCCGGTGCTGGCTCTTCCTTGCGGCTGCCCTGCTGCTGACACAGCTCCTTCCCCTCAGGCCGGGGCTCCCGCTCTGCAAGAAGTGGAGATGCAGTTTTCTCTAAGCAGGCGAGGGGGGGCACGGGCACTGGCACTGGCACAGAGAAGAGAGCAGAGGCCGACAGAGGGCGCTCAAGAGCAGAGGTGGGAGGGGCACACGCAGGGCGAGACAGGCAAACAGGCTGGTAAGAAGGGCAGAGGAGAAACAGGGAAAGGAGACCCCGAAGGGTCTCCAAAAAGAGCCAGGGGGTCAAGGGTCATGGATATGATTCACTTTTTAAAAAATATATTTTTTTGTTGACTTCAGAGAGGAAGGGAGAGGGGGAGCGAGATAGAAACATCAGTGATGAGAGAGAATCATGGATCAGCTGCCCCCTGCACACCCACCACAGGGGATCAAGCCCGCAACCCGGGCATGTGCCCTTGACCGGAATCGAACCGGAGACCCTTCAGTCCACAGGCTGATGCTCCATCCACTGAGCCAACCAGCTAGGGCTACAATTCCCTTATTGAAACATCTACTGAGAGACTGTTGTGTGTCAGAACCAGGTCAGTGCTGGCTGGGGTAAATACAAGTCCAAAAACCATAAATTTAAAATGTCCGTCCCTGGCTGGTTGGTTAGAGTCTCGTCCCAATATGCCAAGGTTGTGGGTTTGATTCCGGTCAGGCACCTACAAGAAGCAACCAATGAATCCAATAAGTGGAACAACAGCCTGGCTGGTGTGGCTCAGTGGTTGAGTGTTGACCTATGAACCAGGGGTCATGGTTCAATTCCCGGTCAGGGCACATGCCCAGGTTGCAGGCTCAATCCCAAGTGTGGGGTGTACAGGGAGCAGCCGATCCATAATTCTCTCTCATCATTGATATTTCTCTCTCCCTCTCCCTTCCTCTCTGAAATCAATAAAAATACATATATTAAAAAAATTGGTGGAATAAATTGATGTTTCTCAAGTTAATAAATTAAAAAAAGAGACTCATTTACTTCATACCCTAAAAAAAAAGAAAAATTTAAATGTCCCTTGTTTCAGAGGGGAAAAAGAACTCCCCCACCACTCCCTCTCTGAAATCAATACAAATATATTTTTTTTTAAAAAAAGAAAAAAATTACTGCCTAACCGGTTTGGCTCAGTGGATAGAGCGTCGGCCTGAGGACTCAAGGATCCCAGGTTCGATTCCGGTCAAGGGCATGTACCTGGGTTGCGGGCACATCCCCAGTAGGGAGTGTGCAGGAGGCAGCTGATGGATGTTTCTCTCTCATCGATGTTTCTGACTCTCTGTCCCTCTCCCTTCCTCTCTGTAAGAAATCAATAAAATATATTAAAAAAAAAAATTACTGCTGTTTCCTGCCAACAGAAGGTAGACGTCTTTGCCCGTTTTCTTGCTATATTCCCAGCACCGTGTCTGGCACACAGCCAGTGCTCAAGGAATGAAGGAAGGGAAGGAAGAGGGAGGGTTCTAGAAGGGGCACTGAGCAGGTGCAGGTGGAGCTGGGGCAGTGGACTGTGGAAGGAAAAGGGCTGTGGAAGGAAAAGGGCTGTGATGGGAGGGCCACATCCCTCCATTGCACCCCCCTCTCACCTGGACGAGCCCCTCCCGGGACTTCTCTGGGCACCTGCCATGGCTCTTCGCCTCGTTCCAGATGGGAGATCACTTCTGGCTTACAGACCGGAGGCCCTGCTTGGGGGGGGGAGGGGGGAAGCGGCATGGCTGTGGGCTGCAGCTCTCTCTCCAGAACCAGCGATAGGACAGGAGAGCCCCCGAACAGCACGAGCTGGCACTGAGAGGTGTGGCCATCCCCGAGGATGGGGGTCGCAGAATGCGAACCCAAGTTGAGGCATGCATTCTGAGGAACCCATGGGTATCTCCACCCCCACCCCCGCCCCCATCTCCCTTGGAAAGCTCCAGGGCAGGTTGGGCTTCCAGGACCCTATCCTCCCTCTCCCTCTCGTTCTGGCTCGCCTGTGTCCAGCCACACCTCCAGGCACGGATGCCAGTCGCACCACAGAGCCCACCCCCCACGCCAGGCCGGTGTGGAAGGGGACTCAGTAGTACCTGAGGACTGTGCCCAGACCACAGGCTCCGAGCCTTGGGAGCCTCTTACCCAGGGAGAGAAGGTTCTGGTAGTTCTCCAGCATCACGTCCCGGTACAGGGCCCTCTGAGGAGAGTCCAGCTGCCCCCACTCCTCCTGGGTGAAGTCTACGGCCACATCCCTGAAAGTCACTGATTCCTGGGATGACACACATTCTCAGTCACCCAGGGCGGGAGGGATTCCGACTGGGTTCCTGCTTCCAAGGGAATTAAGGGTTAACCTTGGTGACCTTCTCCCAAGCCTGGAAGGTTGTGCTTAGACGCCATCTGTCATACAGTCCCACGTACACACCACAGCTGGGCCAGGAATCGCCATCTGGACCTGGCTTTCCGGACCCAAAGGGCCCGGCTAACTGGGCAGCCCCTGTGCCTGCCACGCGGACAGAAAGCTGCTGTGAGGAGTTCTGGGTAAGAATGTCAAACTTAGAGAACTTGAAAGAATAACACAAAGAACCCAGAAACCCCATGCAAATCTCACCACTGCCAAAGGCTGACCCCAAGGAAGCAAACCCTGTGCTTATCAGCAAGTTCCGAGCCTAAGAGACCAAAGGAGCCATTCCATGTCCTTCCTGCCTGCCCCTCCCTCCTTCCTACTGACCTCTGCTCCCTGCCCTCCCAGGCCTGAGTCCTGGCCCATCCCGCCTCCAAAGCCGGTCACTCTGGTTCCAAGTGTCACAAATGCCCCTAATGACTCCACCAGTACTCAGCCCTCAAATCCTAGGCTTCTACCACCCGGGGCTCCGCCCTGAGCCTCCAGCTGTGGCTCCTAACAGTCGCCACACTCATGCTCCCGCCCCCACCCCACCCTGTCAGATAATAAGCTCTCCGCCGCCACAGCTCTGCCCTCAGGCAGCAGACTAACTGCTCTTTTTCAAGATGCTGGTGCCACGGCCGCCTGGCTTTCCCGTAGCTGGGGTGTAGTTACGTAGCTGGGGTGCAGTGACGTAGCTGGGGTGTAGTGACGTAGCTGGGGTGTAGTGACGTAGCTGGGGTGCAGTGACGTAGCTGGGGTGTAGTGACGTAGCTGGGGTGTAGTGACGTAGCTGGGGTGCAGTGACGTAGCTGGGGTGCAGTGACGTAGCTGGGGTGCAGTGACGTAGCTGGGGTGCAGTGACGTAGCTGGGTGCAGTGACGTAGCTGGGGTGCAGTGACGTAGCTGGGGTGCAGTGACGTAGCTGGGGTGCAGTGACGTAGCTGGGGTGCAGTTACGTAGCTGGGGTGCAGTTACGTAGCTGGGGTGTAGTTACGTAGCTGGGGTGTAGTTACGTTAAACATAAGAGCGAAGAATAAACCAAGGAGGGAAGTCTGGTTCCCACCTTTAAGCATTTGCTGGGGAGTGTCTGGCGTGGGGCCAAGCTCCCGGGGCCACCAGGCTCCTCGAGAAGCTCTGGATCCACATCAGCACCCAAGTCAGGCGAGGGGCGCAGACTGTCAGCCTTGAGAAGAGGCCTCACGCCTACCAGGAGCTTACCAGGTAGTCAGCAAAAGTAGGGACCCCTCTGGGGTCACAGGGGTTTGACCTTTAGTTCCAAAAATGCTTAAAGCCCTGGCCTGTTTGGCTCAGCGGATAGAGTGTTGGCCTGTGGACTGAAGGGTCCCAGGTTCGATTCCCGGTCAGGGCACATGCCTGGGTTGCAGGCTCACTCCCATGTGGGGCGTGCAGGAGGCAGCTGATCCATGATTCTCTCTCATCATTGATGTTTCTCTCTCTCTCTCCCTCTCCCTTCCTCTCTGAAATCAATAAAAATATATTTAAAAAATAAAAGTAAAAAAATAAAAGTGGCTTATACTTTTTTATTTGTTGATTTTATTTTTTTGTTTATTTATTTATTTTTTAAAGGGAAGTTTTTTTTTGTTTGTTTTTTATATATATTTCATTGATTTTCTACAGAGAGGAAGGGAGAGAGACAGAGAGCTAGAAACATCGATGAGAGAGAAACATCGATCAGCTGCCTCCCGCACATCTCCCACTGGGGATATGCCCGCAACCCAGGTACATGCCCTTGACCGGAATCGAACCCGGGACCCTTCAGTCCGCAGGCCGACGCTCTATCCACTGAGCCAAACCGGTTTCGGCTATTTGTTGATTTTAGAGAGAGGTGATGCGGGGGGGGGGGGGGGGGGGGGGGGGGGGGGGGGAGGGGTAGAAATATTGGTTTGTTGTTCCAGTTATTTTCACATTCGTTGGTTGCTTTCTTGTAGGTGCCCTGACAGGGATTGAACCCACAACCTTGACAGATCAGGATGATGCTCTAACCAATGAGCTTCACGGCCAGGCCAGAATACATATTCAAGTGCACACAGAACATTTACCAAGATAAACCACATTCTGGGCAATAAAATAGGTCTTAGTACATTTGAAAGAATTCAAATTATGCAAAGTTCCTTTTCTGACTACCACAGAATGAAACGAGAAATCCATCACAGAAAGACATCGGAAAATCCCCCAAATGTTTGGAAACTAAACAACACGCTACTAAAAAATGCACCGCTGAAGAAGAAATCACAACTATTTTGAACTAAAAATAAAAATGCAACATAAAATTTGTGGGATGTACCTAAGGCAGTGCTTAGAGGGAAATTTCTAGCAATGAATGCTGTATGCAGAGAGAAGAGTGTCAAATCAATATCCAAGATTCAACCTTAAGAAATCAGCATACTGCCCTAACCAGTAACTTCTCTTAAAAAAAAAATTTCCCCCTTTATTGATTTTTAGAGAGGAAAAGAGAGGGATGGAGAGAGAGAGAAACATCAATGAGAGAGAAACATCATCAATTCGCCACCTCCTGTACAACCCCCCGCCCAATGGGACTGAGCCTGCAACCCAGGCATGTGCCCTGACCCAGAACTGAACCAGTGACCTCTTAGTTCATGGGTTAACGCTTAACCACTGAGCCACATCAGCCTGGCAACTCCTAAGGATATTCTATTACACAATCACAGTGCCAGCATCACACCCCACAAAATTAATATTAACCCTTTGCGGTCATTTGTCTACTCTCAGCCACCAAAGCTTTTTTACCGTTCCGGTCGGATGTCTGCTCTCAGCCACCACAGCAAGGAACCGTACGAATCTTAACTCTATTCATTCATGTATCAGTTCATAATTTCTCTGAAAGCTCTTAAGCGTCTAAGCGACCTTGTCACGAACCAAAACATTGCCCCGACAAATCGGAGATATCGAAACTCAATATAAACAAACGCGGTCGTTCCACACTCGCCATGCAAAACACCGTGGCGAGTCAGTCGCCTTTTTTTTTTTTTTTTTTTTAAATATATTTTATTGATTTTTTACAGAGAGGAAGGGAGAGAGATAGAGAGTTAGAAACATCGATGAGAGAGAAACATCAATCAGCTGCCTCCTGCACATCTCCCATTGGGGATGTGCCCACAACCCAGGTACATGCCCCTGACCGGAATTGAACCCGGGACCTTTCAGTCCGCAGGCCGAGGCTCTATTCACTGAGCCAAACCGGTTCCGGCGAGTCAGTCGCCTTTTGAGAGTGACGAAATCGACAAGCTTCGGAGATACTTCGCAGAATTTCAAATAAAGCTTTACAAATTACGTTTAACTGTAATTAGGCATTCTCGCTTGTTAAGATATTTCAAAATAATACTCCAAAATGGCAAAAAGAAAGTTACCAAAAGAAGTGTACTGTGGCCGAAACCGGTTTGGCTCAGTGGATAGAGCGTCGGCCTGCGGACTGAAGGGTCCCGGGTTCGATTCCGGTCAAGGGCATGTACTTGGGTTGCGGGCACATCCCCAGTAGGAGATGTGCAGGAGGCAGCTGATCGATGTTTCTCTCTCATCGATGTTTCTAACTCTCTATCTCTCTCCCTTCCTCTCTGTAAAAAATCAATAAAATATATATATAAAAAAAAAAAAAAAAAAGAAGAAGTGTACTGTGAATCTGAAAGTAACGATGAAGAGTTTTATTTTGGCACCTTGAACACTGACTCTGACGTAGAAAGTGATAACGTCTGTAGTGATTCTACTAGTAGTGACGTAGTTCCAAAAAAGAATTAATAAATCTTGTTTATCCTTCATAATCTTGTGTTATGTATCTCTGCTCTTTCAATGGAAATTAATTCTGACCAGTACGACACCCATGTCCAAATTTAATACGACCGCAAAGGGTTAATACAATATGACCTAAGATACAATCAATCCATTTTCAAATTTCCTCAACTGTCCCAAACTGCCTTTGATGGAATTTTTGGATCTGTGAGGCATTGAGAATCATGTATTGCATTTGATTGTCATGTCTCTTGAGTATTTTACAGAATTACAGAACATTCTAACACATTACAGAAGCTGGGCACATCTCACAATACGTGTTTGATAGCTATTTCTACCTGTCTGTAATCAGACCTCACCTCTTTCAAGTGGGAGGTTAACAGAATCACAAAATCCTAAAAAAGTCAATCCTCGCCCTGACCGGTTTGGCTCAGAGCGTCGGCCTGCGGACCGAAGGGTCCCGGGTTCGATTCCGGTCAAGGGCATGTACCTTGGTTGCGGGCACATCCCCAGTGGGGGGCGTGCAGGAGGCAGCTGGTCGATGTTTCTCTCTATCCCTCTCCCTTCCTCCCAGTAAAAAAATCAATAAAATATATTAAAAAAAAAAAAAAAAGTCAATCCTCTAGCCCAGTGGTCGGCAAACCGCGGCTCGCGAGCCACATGCGGCTCTTTGGCCCCTTGAGCGTGGCTCTTCCACAAAATACCGACTTCTGCACGTGGGCCACGAAGTTTCAATCGCACTGTACATGCGCGCCCGCACGTGGTATTTTGTGGAAGAGCCACACTCAAGGGGCCAAAGAGCCGCAGTTTGCTGACCACTGCTCTAGAGCAGCGGTTCTCAACCTTGGCTGCACATTAGAATCACCTGGGAATCTTTTTAAAATCCTGATTTCTGGGACTCATCCCAGGTGATTCTAATGTGCAGCCAAGGCTGAGAACCACTGCTCTAGACCTTTTCACTCCCCCACACTCTCCTTATCAACCGTATCCTTCTAAATACTATGATGGGTAGGGGTAGTGTAGGTGGTAGAACAAAACCCGAAGTCTCTAAAGAAGGATTTGGGTCTTGCTTACCTGCAGAAGTGGCCCCAGAGCCAAATCCTTGCTGAGCCCCCAGATCCTCTAAAACTCCAGGTTTTACATGAGGCCCCATGTCAAGGGCCCAGTACAGAGGAAAAGCACACAGGGACACACCCCCGACCATCACTCTTACCCCAGCACTGCAACACAGCCCTTCCTTTAGCTGTCCCACACCAGATTTCACACCAGAAAACTCCCCCAAGCAGGTCCAGCCGCCACCACCATCGCCTGGGTCTTCATGTGGAGATGAGCAAAGTGATCTCAATGTGACCTGCTTGCTGGAGCTCTGCTCAAACCACTCTTTGGAGCTCCTGGCACAGTGTGGGTCCTGGGCAACTGACCCCGCCCCCCCTCCCGCCCCCATTGGACACCCCCGGGGCATCACCTGGAACTGTTCCCAAGCCCAGAGCTTCCTGAAGAAGCCTGCCAACCCTCTCCATAAAGAACAAGACGTTAAAAAGCAAAAACAAAAACAAAACCACCAGCCTTAGTTTGGCTCAATGGATAGAGCATGGGCCTGCGGACTGAACGGTCCCGGGTTCAATTACAGTCAAGGGCACATGCCTGGATTGTGGGCTCGATCCCCAGTGTAGAGCATGCAGGAGGCAGCCAATCAATGATTCTCATCATTACTGTTTCTATCTCTCCTGCTCTCTTCCTCTCTGAGATCAATAAAAATATATTTAAAAACAAAAAAATATATTAAAAACCCAAGATGTTCAGAAATAAGAAAAGATAGCCACTCACCTCAGACCTGGCTTCCAGGAGACCCTGACCCCATTTATCCTCTGGATTATCTTTGAGAAGAGCAAGGTCCCGAGAGGACAGAGCTGGGAAGGAGAAATGAATAACGGGCTGGTCAGTCACAGCCCCCAGGTGCGCTGACGGAGCTGAAAACCACTCCACACCTGGCACCCAGGGCAATCAGAGGCGTCAGGAGCCACCCGCGCAGGTGGGGTGGGGATCGAGCCCCGGTACGTGGCATAACCTGATACAGAATCGGGGGTTAATTCTGCCACTCGGCGTCAGACACTGCAGTTTAGAAGGAAAACACTGCCATTTCCTTCCACTCATCAGCACGCTCGACAGTGGGAACAAATGGCTGGGCACGGTGGAGGCAGCACCCCGACTCGGCTGGTGCTCCGGGGAACCAGCCTGACTTGTCAGTCAGTCTCCTCAATGCAAACCCACAGGCCCACTGCCTGAAACAGCCGATTGTACCTGTCTCCGGGGGCTTCGGGGCAGGGGTCTCCATGGCGGCCCTTGGCAGCGTCCCCCGGAGGCGTGAGCAGCTCTGCAGCCACCTGGGCCCCCGGCCAGGCCCAGAGGAGCGGGTCCTGCTTCTGGGGCTCAGGGACAGCGGCCCGTGGGGGAGCCCCGCGGGGTCGCGCACGCACTCCCGGCTGCACGGTCACACAGGCCCTGCGCTCCGCCGCGGTCGGGGCCAGGCAGGCTTAGCAGGAGCCCCGCACCCCAGGCTGCGCTCACACCCCATCGCCGCGCCGCACTCCTCCCGGCACCGCGCGCGGGGCCAGGTAGGCCGGGGGCTCAGCCACCTGGAGACAGTGGGCGCGGAGCGGGGCCGGCAGACGGACCCCGGGGCAGATGGACAGACTAACCGACGGACGGACGGACACGGGAGAGAACCAACCGGCCTCCCACAAAAGGACAAGAACCATCACAAAGGAGCAGCCTGGCGTCCGCCGTGGGAAAGTGCGCCTGCGCGGACCCGACGCGAACTACAGTTCCCCGGAACCTTTGTACCACGCAGATAGCGCACTCCATTTCCCAGAGGGCGTCGGGGCACCAGAGTAGCCCTGACGTCCGCCCTCCGTGTGTAGCACAGCCTTCTGGGCAATGTAGTTCCGGGGCCTGAAACCATGCGCCCCAGCCCCGCCCCCGCCCCACTCACCGCCCTCCATTGCTGTGGCCTTTTTTTGTGTTCCCCGGAGGCATAGGCAGATCTGTAACCACCTGGGCCCCAGGCCAGACCCAGAGGAGCGGGTCCTGCTCCTGGGGCTCAGGAACAGCACCCTGCAGGGAAAGCCCGCGGGGTCGCACACGCACTCCCGGCTGCACAGTCACACTGGCCCTGAGCTCCGCCGAGGTGCGGGCCAGGCAGCTCGGCAGGAGCCCCGCACCCCACACACACTGTGCTCACATCCCGCCGCCACGCCCCACGCAGTTCGTCGCACACTCCTCTTGTGCACCAAGCGCCGGGCCTGTGGTTCAGCCACCTGGAGCCAGCGGGCGTGGAGAGCGGCCAGCAGCGAGGCCCCGGGGCAGATGAACAGACCAAATGACTGCTTCCCACAACAGCAACAGCCACAAAGGAGCAGGGCGGCGGTCGCCACGGGAAAATGTGCCGGCACAGACCCGACGCAAACTACTGCCCCCGGGAGCCTTTGCGCTTCGCTCTCGGCCGACTCCATTTCCCAGAGGGCGTTGGAGTACCGGAGCTGCTCTGACGTCTCGACCCCGTAGAGCCTTCTGGGAAATGTAGTTTCGGTATCGGAAACTGTGATCTCTGGTCCCGCCCCCAATTGGAGTCGTTCCTAGAGAAAGGTGCCCTGAACGTGGAATTGTCCTTTAGGTGTGTGGCTTTCCTATCCGTGTTGGCCCTGGCCCACCTCCATCTCTGCAGGAAAGTCTCAGGTCCCCGCTTAGGACACTAGAGGTGGTGATGAGTGGGGCCATCAGTGGTGTTTTCCAGGGGCCTGCCTAGGGACCCTGCCCATTCTGGAGAGGTATTTTGGGACCCCCTATAGGGGGAGGTGCAGGGGGAGGAGGAGTTAAAGCTCCAGCTCTTCTCTCAGACCAGGTGCCTCCGAGCTCTCTCTCTCTCTCTCAAATCAATACATAACCATTTAAAAGACAGGCCATCTGCAGCTCAGGGTCCAGACAGCAGAGCATTCCAGAATAGATAGACCTGCTCGTTAGGTCATAGGCCTCCCCCTGCCACTGCATGTCCTCTCAGGCTCTGTCACCTCTACTGCCCTTACCATCTCCTGGCCAGCAGTCTCATTCTGGGATCTGGGGGGGGGGGGGGGGGGGAACACAGTCGAGGCAACAGGGGTTGCAAGAGGTGAGATAGGAAGGGACTAACCCAGAACTATATCCTGAGTTATGGCTCAAGTCAAACCTTCTGGCTTAGTCAGCTGAGGCCCTGCTATATGGCCTGTACTTTGGGAACCCAAAGGACACAGTAGCCTTCCCTTCTTCTTTTTTTTTTTTTTTGTTCAAATATATTTTTATTGATTTCAGAGAGGAAAGGGAGGGAGAGAGAGATAGAAACATCCGTAATGAATCATTGATCAGTTGCCTCCTGCACACCCACTACTGGGGATCAAGCCCACAACCCGATCATGTGCCGTTGACCAGAATCGAACCCGGGACTCTTTAGTCCACAGGCAGAGGCTCTATCCACTAAGCAAAACCAGCTAGGGCGCCTTCCCTTCCTTAGAGTCCAATGCCCAGGGTCCAGACCCTAGCCACGCAGGCCTCATCCGCTCACCCTCCAAAGGCCCAGCCAGCCTAACACAACCTAACAGGTGTAATGGAGGAAATGGAGTTCTTTGGGTTCCTTGGGGAAATAAGTTTCTTGAGGCTCCCATGGAGGATGGGGTTTCATGGAAAGCTTTATTGATGATGTAACATTAAAGGGGTCTGCTGGAAGCCAATTCCAGCATGACAGCAGGGCTGAATCTGGGAATGGCTGATGGCATTTCCCCAAACCTGAACAGGATACATTAAATTGTTTGCTGCCAGACAGCTCAGGGCATCTTAATCTACATGTTATTGCCTCCTACTGGCCAAACACCTGAACAGCCATAGGCTAATTCTCCCCAGTCTGACAATGGACTCTGTATAGGAAACACTGACCCTTTGAAGTGTATATCTCTGCCTCACCTCAGGACAATTTGTGTTAATAAAAAGCATGGGGTCCTGAGCCGAGGAGATCTTAGTTTCCTTTAAACTAGGCTCTTCTGACCCCCAAATGCCTTTCAAAATTATATTTTGTCTCTGGACGAGTTAATCTACGCACAGCCTTCTCCAGACTGCTGAACCCTTCTAGATGCTGGAACAAGAGCCCCGGTAGAGCCGTAACCGGTTTGGCTCGGTGGATAGAGCGTCAGCCTGCGGACTGAAGGGTCCCGGGTTCGATCCCGGTCAAGGGCATGTACCTTGGTTGCGGGCACATCTCCAGTGGGGAGTGTGCAGGAGGCAGCTGATTGATGTTTCTCTCTCATCGATGTTTCTAACTCTCTCTCTCTCTCCCTTCCTCTCTGTAAAATCAATAAAATATATATATTAAAAAAAAAAAGAGCCCCGGTAGGGGTTCCCCTGCAAGGTCCCATCTATGTCCACCCTTGCCTCTCCTGGCTCTCAAAGCCACGCCTGTTGTCTCCCACAGCCACATCTGTCAGCAAATCCGGAGTCTCTACCGAGCCCTCTCCCCACACTCCTGGCCTCCTTGTCGGTCCCTCCTGGGGACCTGAGGGGTCTCCGTCATTTCACAGAACAGAACTTAATTTGAGCTCAGAGAGGGCAGAGCCTACAGGTCGCACAGCCTGGATCTCACAGGCTCAGGAGGGAATCCAGGACTTTTGTCAGCAGTATTTTAATTACTGGGACAGAGGGCAAGGGATGGTTAATGAGGCTCGAGGGATCAGCTGAGCCAGATGCTGGAGGGCCCAGCAGGCCAGGTGACTCGGGAGGAATGGGGCCACCTGAGGGGTTGACAGCCAAGTTCTCACCTCCTCTGCACCTTCCAGAGAGACAGGCTGCAATGAACAAATGAGTGAATGAATGAATTAATAAACAGGGGACGCAGGCATCTTGGTTGGGGCCAGGCAGGTCTGCCAATGAATAGGATCCACAGCACATCCCCCCACCCTACCGACACACACACACACACACACACACACACACACACACACAGAGCTGCATAGAGGCTAGGCCCCTGTAGGCGCTGAGATCCCAGTCCAGCCTGGATCTACGCCAGGCCCTTCCCATGGCACCCGAAGTCCTAACTAGCCCCTAGGGTGCAGTGAGAACAACATACTGGGTGGGGATACTGCCCACCAGGGGGGCCCACAGTGCACTGTCCATGGCCCTGCAATCGGCAGCATTGCACGTGTGAAGGCACCAGGCACCGGGGTGAGAAAGTGGTACAGGGTGCAGTGGTGAAGGGCTCCCATAGAAGATGCCAGAGACAGGAAGGGCAGCAGGGATGGCCATAAGGGCCTCAAGTGCCAGGTAGAGGAGGTACACTGGCTGCCCTGGGTGGGTGAGGGAAGGGGGGAAGAAGTCCATCCCATAGAGGACCCTCAGCCCTAGGCTCCTTCTCCCAGCTACTCCTCCATCCAACATTCAGCATGATTAGCATCACTGAGTACCACGTGATTCAGACCTGTGCTCAGGGACGCTTCTGTGGCTCCAGGTGGACCGAGAACAGAAAGCCAGTTAAACTGACTGTGAGAGATGCTGTGGGGGAGGGGCCTGAACTACCTGGTTGGTGTGAGGTGGTCAAGGAAGGCTGCTCAAGTGAGATGAATGAGATTGGCCAGGCACTTGGGGGTGGGGAGGACATTCCTGCCAGGAGAACTGGCCTAAGCAAAGGCCCAGAGGGGTGAAGGTTATTGGGTTAGAGGAGGTTTAAAAAGTGTGGCTGAGCCCTGACTGGTTTGGCTCAGTGGATAGATCTTTGGCCTGTGGACTGAAAGGTCCCAGGTTCGATTCCGGTCAAGGGCATGTACCTTGGTTGGGGGCACATCCCCAGTAGGGGGTGTGCAGGAGGCAGCTGATTGATGTTTCTCTCTCATCAGTGTTTCTAGCTCTCTATCCCTCTCCCTTCCTCTCTGTAAAAAATCAATAAAACATAAAAAAAAAAAAAATGTGGCCTAACATAAACAGTGTGAGATGGGCTGGGACCTCCAGCGCCTCCTGGAGTTGGACTGGAAGTGTCCATGACAAGGATGGATTGCTGCAGCTGTGTGTGGGCTGTGGGGGGCAGAGTAGGGAGACATAGTGGCCTGGACTATGCTATGGAAGGAGGTGGCTCGAGCCAGTGAGGAGGGCTGCTGGGTCCATGACCACACCTGCTCTCCCCTGACTGTGATGTAGAGGTTGTGAGCTCCGATCCTGACTCTGGTCTCAGCACCTGGGCTTCTGCAGCTCTTGCTCCAAGCCCTGTCACCCTGCCCAGAGGCTGGGCCAAGGCCTTGGTTGGGACCCAGGGACAGCGCGTGGGGGGGAGGGGGGGTTTGCACAATTACAACACCCGAAGCCGGCGCTCTGCGCCCCCCGCCCCCAAAGCCCCCTGGGGCTCTGCCACACCACACGGCCTTGCCGGGGTTCTCCCGGCCCCAGGCAGGATCCCTCGAGGCCTCGGATGTCCCCACAGCAGTCCCGGGGGTCCTCTCCACCGTGTGTTGCTCGGGCCCCACGGTTGCTAGGCTGCGCACTGGGGCTCCGGCGAAGCTGAGCGCTGGTGTCGCTGGCGCTGGCGGCTACAGTGCGGATGGCGGCGGAATCGGGGCGCTCGTGGGCCCAGGCTCGCAGAGCGTACGGTGCAAGCGAGGCCCTGCGGCGCGGCGTGGACCGCCGGCGGGCCCCCGGCCCCCAGCCCAATGGGCCGGTCCCTGAAGAAGCCCGCGCCCCAGGCCGCCTGGCTCGCCTGCGCGGCCAGCTCCGGGCTGAGACGGAGGCGCGGGCCAACGCCCCCCGGCTGCTGCGGCTGGTGGAGCGCGCGGGGGCGGCGGCAGGGGCCAGAGACGAGGCTGCCGGGGTGCAGGCGGACGCGCGCAGCCGAGGCTCTGTGTGCTCGGTGTGCGGGGAACCACGCGGCGGGGCCACCTACCCGGCCGGCGTCCTGGAGGTGAGCGAGCGGCGGCTGCAGGAGGGCCTGGCGGCCGTGCGTGCGGAGCTGGGAGCGGGGCTCGAGGCGCTGCGCGTGGAGCTCCGGGCGGAACTGGAAGCCCTGCGCGCGCTGCTGCCGCCACCGCCACCCGCCCGCCGCGAGCCCCGCATCGCGCCCCGCGGCCCGGCCCTGCTGCGGGCGCTCGGCACCGTGAACGCCCTGGCCGCGGCCACCAGGCCCACGGACGACGCCTCGGACGGCCCCGCGAACGGCCCCGCGAACCAGGCCCTTGCCCGGAAGAACCTCAAGAAGACGCCGGTGCCCCCCGGGGCCCCGCCGGGTGGTGGGGATTGAGGGTGGCCGCACGGAGGGGGAGCTAGGCGCAGTGCTGGAGGCCCCACTGGCAGAGGGGTGAATGGACAGATCTGTCCCCTCGTGGACCTGGCTCAGTGCAGCCAGCGATAACTTCTGGAGACCGAGTCCGGGCTGGAGGAGGCCTGGAGCCCCTTTTGGCCTCTGAGCTGGGGAATATTTGGTCCTGGGGCATGTCAGCCTCCAGGGAGAGCCGAGGGCTTGCGGCAGGTGGGACCCCTCGGGCTAGGAGAAGGGGGTTGCAGGGTTTTTTTCCTTTTCTTTAAGGGTTTGGGAAAAGGCCGGGCCTCCATGCACTGGGACATGGAGTGTGACCACACACCAAGCAGCAGACACTGGGGACACATGGGCTGCTGGAACAGTGTCCCCTGGACACAGTGCCACTCAGATCAGTGTCACCTAGATATACAGCCACATTCCACAGGCACCAACTGCACAGCAGCCTGACTGGCCAGCTTCGCTCTACTGACCACCAAACCCGCCTCCCACAGGACAGCGCGGCTCTCAGAGGCAGCTGGTCAGCAGCCACACGGCAGTCTCAGCTTTGCTTTGGACAGCGACACCTAGGACCCTTACCCCTTCATTAGCCTCCCACAGGCAGTCACCTGGACGCCGGTGTCTCTTCAGAAAGTGTCATGTACACGCAGACTCCACAGGCTAAGCTCCCAGTGTCCTCTGGGTGGAGCCGTCCCTGTCACCAGGACCCACCCACCCAGGGCAGCCCTGCAGTAGAACATGGAACCAGCGCTTCTCCCCTCCTGGCCTCCAGGGAACGTTACCTGGAGTCTTCCTTGAACCGCTCACAGTGGCCTGGGGTCAGTGCCTGCTCATTTTTGAAATAAAATGCATAATCTTAGGCTTTAGCAGGTGTTGGTGTTTTAATCTATTTTACTCATTCATTCATTCCTTACCTGAAGACATGTTTTTATTGATGTTTAGAGAAAGGAGGAGAGGGAGAGAGAAACATCGATCTGGCTGCTTTCTGTATGTGCCCCAACTGGGGATAGAACCCACAACCTAGGTATGTGCCCTGACAGGGAATTGAACCCACAACCTTTTGGTGCACAGGATGATGCTCCAGTCAGCCGAGCCACCTGGCTAGGGCAGCTGGTATGTTTGGAACCTGCTAACGTTTCTCCTTTCATCTGACCAGGGATTCAGACAGCGTGTAGGTTGGGAGTGGGGGTGCTTCTCCCTCTGGGAGATCTGGGGGTTCTGGATGGGGCTCTGAAGCTGGCTGTAGTGGGGTAGTGGAGGGTCGCTTAGGGGTCTCTCTTTCTGAATAGCATGAAGGGACGGTCAGCCCACATGTGAGCCGGTGGTGGAAGTCCCCACTGTAGGTATGTGGCCATGTGCCACGAGATCTTTCGCCCTCTTTCCCTGTGGGGCAGTCTGCCTGCAGGTGACTATGTGGGGATGTGTGGCCCAGGTCAGGGGGTGGGGATCGGGGATTCAGAGTCCTGGTGCCCACCCTCCGAGTTCGCACACACCACCTGCAACACCGTGAGGAAGGTGGGCGTGAAGACAGGGGCCATGGTGTGGCTGCTATAGCGACTTGGCAGGAGGCTGGTGCAGCCAGGCGGCCGGCCGTGTATGTGTTGGCCAGGTGGGCGTGGCTACATTCTGTAGGCTTCCGATGTGGGTCAGATGTGGGTCAGAGGGGCAGTGCCCGGGTGGGGCCAACAGCAGGGAAGAGGGAATCTGGGCTCACCAGGCTCTGATACTAGGGATGCATGCCAGTAACAGTTGCCATTTCCTGAAGCTAAAAGCTTTATGCAACTCTCCCTTGCCCCCCATTAACCCTCCTAGGCGTGAGAGCTATAAAGATGCCCATTTACAGGGACCAGGAGTGACAAGGCAAGGCCACCAAGATGGAAATCCAAGGGAGAAGGCACCTGGATCCTAGTGGCCTTGACTTGAGGGGCTGGGATGGGGAGGGCATAGGAGGGTCTCCTACACTGGAGCAGCCTAGGATACCCCAAGACCAGATGTCCTCTGACCAGCTCCCTCCACTGACCCATGTGATGGAGCTCAGCTTCACTCTGCCTCCTTCGGAGGACCACCCCCAAAACAGGTCTCCAGGAAGCCACAGCTGGCCCCCTTTGACCAGCCCAGGTCAATGAGGGGACTGGGTTTCCTCAGCGGTTGTGGAGAGAACCCCAGGCTGGGGCCCGAGCCAGTTCACTCTCCTGGAAAGGGAGGCTCTGATTTCTCCTTTCAGGGTGGCCAGGAGAGAAGGCAACACTTTCTGGAAAGGGCTCGGTGTGCCCACAGGTGTGACCATGACTGTGTGTGTGTGTGTGTGTGTGTGAGGTGGGGGATAGGTCTGTACCCTGCGCCTCTTTCCAATCCCCAGAGGGCTGGGCTCATCCCACTTTGGGGTACCCAGTGGAGCTGTCCTCGGCGCTGACAGCACCCAGGGTGCCCGGGACAGCCTGCCATCCCACTGATGTGTTCAGGAACGAGGGGCCACCTCCTTGAAGCTCCTATCCCCTCCAAGGGACTCACTGGTCTGTCCAGGAAGCTGGGTTAGGAAGATGAGCACGAAGACCTGCCAAAGGTTGAGTGCCCTGGGTGCCCTCTTGTCCCACGTCACGTACTAGGAAATTATTGAAAGGACCACTGAGAAAAGAAGGGACAGAGGGGTCTCAGAGCCCCAAGCCTGCCCCTTCCCCCATCTCCGCACCCGTGCCTTGGCTCCATCTTGGCCAGAGCCTCTCCCAACATGAGTCACACCAAGGACTGACTATGCCTCTTCCAGAACACAAATTTATTTGGCATTTGGATGAAATGGTTCTCACAGCATCTTAAGGATTAGTGCCAACATAACCAAAAATAAACCCAAACTAAAAACCCTTAGTGAAAGGAAAACATAAAAAACAGGCATTGAGACAATGTACAGATTCAACTCCCACCTCCATAGGCAGGTCAGGTCCTTGGGGAGGAGGCCCTCCCGAGACCTTAGCCTGTCCCTCTGGAGGCCCAGTGTGCATCAGGTGGGGAGTCCTCTCACAGGAACACAACAGTCTCAGCCAGGGTTGGACCTAGAGCACAATCAGATCTTACAAAGGGTGGTGACTGGACAGGAGGCCAAGGTCAGCCAGACAGACCACAGCTTTCCCCGATGCCCTCACAACCACCTTCAAGCAGAGCTCAGCTCTGGGAGACTCAGTGGGCAGCCTTCTGCCCAGACCAAGAATGCCAGTAGGCTGAACACTCTGGGCCCACCCTCTGCAGCCCCATGATCTGATTCAGGGCCCTCCCCTTAGTACCTCCTGCATGCCAGTCCCCAGCAATCTTTCAGTCCGCAAGTTCCCCAGTCCCACACATCTAGTGCCAGCCACTGCCCTGTACACACAGCTGAAGCCTGGGCCAGAGACACTGGAATAAGGGGACCGGTGTTGTGGGGGCCAGACCCTACAGGATTCCATTGGGGTGGTCATTTCAAAGTAGGCCCACTCAGGACCCTAACCCACAAGGCTGTGACTGCTGCTCTGGAAATTGGAAGCCCTGTGTCCAGCACACGTTGGAGGCACCACCCACTTCCTGCTTTGTTTTCAGGAGCCAGCATGGGCACATGTGCCCAGGATGCCCTTCTCCAAGTAGCAGCCCTCTGGCAAGGGGAGCACCCACTCTGGCTTCTGCGGGCCGAGCCCAAGGACAGGCAGTTCAGTGACAAAACTCACATCTCTGGTCAGCCCTGTGGGACAACTCAAGAACAAAACTGGTTTCCAACCAAAGTATGAAAATGTGCCTAGAACTGGGCTGAGCCTGTGAGGTCTGTCGTCAGACCACCATGGAAGCTCCCACTGAAAGCCAGCTCTCCCTGCTGCAGGCTGGTACAGAAAGGCTTAGGGGAGGACCAGGAGCTGGATGGCTGGGTTAGGAAGATGAGCATGAGAACCTGCCTCGGAAGAGGCACAGACCTGGCCATGCCTCAGTGCCACCCAAGGGGCCATGTTGGCCCAGGAAATTGAAGATGGAGTTCCTGTGTACCATCATCACCTGCAAACACTTGGACATATACGTACACACACACACACACACACACACACACACACACACACACACACAAAAGATCTAGACATTCAACGTAGAAAAGATATGGATGTGCTAAAAAATCGCACAGAACCCGCTTAATCTCCAAACCTCAGAAATGCTAAAAGCCTGGTGTCAGGAGACAAGACCACTGCTCAGGAGTAGGCAACAGGGTCCCTCAGTCAAAAGGCCCCTGAGCAGGGCACCCAGCACCCTGTGCTAAGGACAGGAAGGTGGCATGCAGCCACCAGGCACTCAGCTCTAGTGGTGGTGGTGATGTGCAAGAAGTGGACTGACTTTCAGGAGGTGGACACAGCCCAGGATGTTAATTTCAGCCACCCCTCCCCCCAAATAAACCTTTATGGCACAAAAGAGGGGAGTGGGGCAGGCCAGGTCCAGGGGCAAATTCAATAGGAGGGGGCTCCAAAGGGTAACAGGAGCTGGCTTAGCCCTCAAGCCCAGTGAAGGGTCCAGGGCCAGGACACTCATACATGGCTAAGGGCCTCAGCCCAGCTCCAGAGCTGCCTCCTGGGGGGCCATGCACGGTAATGTTAGGGAGAAATCCAACAGACTAGGGATAGGGATTTCTGGCACAGAACTGGGCTTTGCAGAGCCCTGCTGGAAAGACAGAGTGGAGTTCAACCTCCTTCCAAGCTCCCCTTCTTAGGGTTTGGGCACCAGAGCTAAGACAGGGTCACCCTCGATGTTCAAGCTAGACCTGTGAGGGGCCATCATCAGAGCAGCCATTGGAGCAACTCTCAAGGCTGTCTGCCCGGAAGCAGACTCACTGCCCAGACAATCCTGACAGTCCACAAACACTGGTGCCGGAAGTGCTTCCTGGGCAGCGGCCAGCGAGGCACACTGTGGCAGCTCTGGGGCTTGGTGGCTGGGCAGCATGCTCCTCTGAACAACGTGCTGCCACGAGCAAGCCCACCAGTCTGGTGTGGTCTGGCCTCCACCCAGGCCCGCAGTACCTTCTTTGTTCCCTACTTCTGAAACGTGTGGCATGAACAAACTGCCATTCTTCTGTCATTTGAAAAGAAAAAGACAGTGACCCAAAGCTATGCATGTGTTTGAAGCCCTCAAGGAGACTCGGTGCAGGTGCTCGCTCCCTTGGGAGGCTGGCGCAGTCTCTACAAGCACGGGCACACCTACAGGGGAGTGTGTGCAGCAGTGCAGCCGAGTCCAGGCTCACATAGGGCCCTTCAAGTCTCCACGGGAATCAGAGTTTCCTTGACAGCAAACAGGTGCTCCATGCCCCTTGGGGCCATGGGCTGGGCATCCGCTACACCACGGTATTGAGGGAACTGCGGCTGTGGCGGCCAACTCCTGGCAGTGCCTCTGTGGCTGGGGGCGTCCCACTCCGGGCAGGGTCGGGGGGTACGAGCAGAATGCTGCTGCTGTCAGCTGAGTCTTCCAGGTCTGCCAGGGTGACCCCTGCAGAGGGTAGAGGCTGCTCCAGGCACCGGGGTGACGCACCTTCACTGTCACCATCCCCTGGGGTTGGCGGGCTGGCCTCTGCTGGCTCGAAAGCATCGTCATCTATAGGAGGAGACAGAGGGGTGTCAGCAGGATGGTGGATGGGCCTGGCACGAGGCAAGAGGGGAGGGAGACAGAACTGGGGGACACTTCTCTTGCCTGAATGTTCCCACTGAAGCTGTGGCTCTGCTGTGCTCACCCCTCACCCCTGCCACAGTCGCAGCTGTCATGGTGCAAGGTGCAGGCGGACAGTTATGAGCAAGCCCCAGTGTGTGGCTGGTACACACTTTGACAGAGTTAGGAGAATAAAGGTAGGGGACGAGGAACCCCTTTCAGATTCAGTGGGGGTTGAACCAGGACCCACGTGACATTAGGGCATTACTGGGCTGTAGGTGGGCAGGTGGAACAGTGCTCACAGTCCCGACCAGAAGCTGCAGCTGGAATATGGGAACAAGAGCACGAGAGCATGAGATGGGGCCCGGGCAGGCAGCCCCGTAAACTGTGCGGGGGCCTGCAGACACCTCTGGTCTGACAGCGCTCTACAGCAGCCCATTCTTTTTGGCGTGCCTGCTCCTTATCACCAGACTCTCTCTTTCAGCTCAGGCATGGCACAGGGCCCAGTCTGTGTCCCTTGCCTGGCCAACTCCCCATGGGCCCAACAGTCCTGCTGCCCTGCCCTGGGACCATTTGCTCCCCTGCAGCCTGGTCCATGGAGGCGCTGGGTCCCCAGCAGCATTCCTGGTAGGAAGCTTGCTCTACCCTGGTCCCCTGACAGTAGATGGCGACAACCCGTCCCGAGGGGTTAAATCCAAGTTTCTCCTGCCCACACAGACCGGGTAGTAGCCGACCAAATGAACCAACAGCACACAGATCACAGCAGTGCTGGCCTCACGCCATCCTGCTGTGCTGTGTGGGTATGCAAAGAGCCAGCAGCCCTGGGGTGGGACACTGCTTGCAATGTATGGTGGGGGTATGTGTGTGTTACAGGGTAACACACAGGGAAAAGAGTGGGACATCTGCACTACACACCAGGGACAGGGGCAGGCCAGGCAATGGGCAAGGCTCCTGCAATCCCTTCTTTGTTGCACAGCCCTGGGAGGAACACACTCAGGTAACTGGCCCAACATCACCAAGCCAATGCTTGCGTCCCACGCCACAAAACTGCCTCAGAACATGAGAGAATGCCACGGCGGTGTCTCTTTGCTTACCACATGTGCACGTCTTTACAGCCCAGCCGTTGGCTCTGTGCCAGCCCCATCCCCACGACTGCCAATGCCCGGTCCCCAGCTCTCCACAGAGCTAGGACTGGGTGTCCGAGGGCTGCTTGCTGACGTGTGCTCCCAGGTGGAGGTAAGAGGCAGGGTGACCAGTGACCACTGTCAGCAGTCACCTGCACCTGCTCCCCTGGGAAGAGCCTGACAACCACTTAAAGGGAAAACCAGAGACAGCAGCAGAAGGCTGGGAGGGAGCAGAGTTCACGGCCCTGTGCGCTGGGGAGGACCCGAGACTCTGGCCCTGCAGGCCAGGTGGTTGGCGACAGGCTGCTCCCTCTCCCTGTGGGGAAGCACCTGCAGGGTCGTAGAACACGCTGTCAGGGTTGATGGAGGCCTCATAGGGTGGCGGTGGGTCATCAGGCTGGTCAATGTCTGGGTACTTGTACGCAGTGTAGGGGGGCGGAGGATCATGGAAGTGGAAAGTCCCTCCTTCTCCATCATCAGAAAGATGTAGCGGCGTGAGGCCTGTGCCGAACCCGTCTGGGCCATAATCAAAGCCGGGGATCCTCCGGCCAAGGTTGAAGTGGTGTACTGGGCAATGGAAGTGAGAAACAAGCAACAGGGTCATGTCACTGGAAGATGCACCACTCAGCTCCTGAGCCCTGCCTCCCCCAGGCCCAGGCCCTGCCCCCGCCCAGACCAGACATTCCGACTGTCACTTTTGTGCCTAACTGCCCACCAGTCCCGACACTCGCCCAGTGCCTCCTTCCCCAGCCGGTACATCCCTGCTCATCACTCACGTGCAAGAGGTTTGCCTGCTGTGCTCCAGCCCTCACCACACCCCTCCAGCTCTAAAATGTTTCTGGGTGTCTAACCCATGATTGCCTTGAAGTTTTGCCCACCCTGCAACTCAGTGAGAACTGAGGCAGGTGGAAAACTTGGTTGGTCCACACTTCAGACCTGACCTGGGCTCCCCAGGGACATCAAGGCCCCTAATGGAAGCTAGTGAGGGCCTTCAGCATTCTTGCCACCTTGATTCTGAATCCTCTCCTGCCTGCCTGCACCTGTCTTGTCCTGCCCCACCCAGGACTGGGGAGCCCTGGCTTGTTCGCTGACACAAGGGATGATTTCAGCTCTACTGGGGGCACAGGCCACTGCAGGCAAATTGGACTGAGGGTGAGCCGCACTCTCTAAGTTGCCTTATGTCCATGGGCATTTGCTGATTCCTTCTCCTCGCAGGAGGCCCGCACTCATGGTCTAGGCCAGACTGCTTCAGAGAGCAAGGGCAGGGAAGCGCAGAGTCAGCGGGCACTGGAGGTATGCCCTTCTTCCATGTGCCTATGGACTCTGATTTCGGGTCCTGCAAAGAGCTCCTCTAGTGCCCCAGGTGTGCACTAAGCCCAGGAGCGGGTGGGTGGGTGGGACAGGAATGCCTTTCGGCACCCTCCATCATGGCCTCCACTTCCTCCCTGCACCTTCCTGCTTCCTGTGTCCCCATTCTCCTTGGGGACACAGCCAAGGGCAGGCCTGCACTGTAGTCATCATAGGCAGGGGCTGGGGCACTCACGGTTTGCTCCAATCAGGGACTCAATGCGCTCCCGGCGCCTCTGGCGTAGCCGGTGGACCATGAAAAGCAGCAGGGACAGGATGAGAAAGGAGGAGATACAGCTAACAATGAGACGCATCCCACTGGCCATGGAGTCGAACAGGCTATTCCCATCTGTTAGAGGAGAAGGGAAAAACCCCGCTGCTTCAGAAAAGGAGGTGCTGATCCCCGGAGCTCAGTGCTATGAGAGGCCACGGCCCTCCACCACACAACTATGTGGACAAGGCAACTTACTTCCCGATACAGTCTTATGATGACAGAAACAAGAAAGCTGAAAATCAAGACTCTATATACATACTAGAAAAGGCTAATATGCTAAGTGTCCGACCATCCAACCCGTTGCTATGACACACAATGACCACCAGGGGGCAGACACTCAACACAGGAGCTGCCAAGCTGCAGTTACTTGGCAGCGACGGTTCTTGGGTGACGCACCCCGAAACCAGAAAGGAGGGAACCCGATTCCTCGCGGGGCCGTGTGATTCCACCTTCGGCCGTGGGTTATGTTGTTGCTGAGGCACTGTTGGCCCCGAATCTGGTTTACTGCACACTTGTGTTTGCGTTCGCGTTCCACACCCTGTACGACAGCAACTTTGCAGAGTGCCCTCTCGCACTCTGGAACCCCTTGGGGGATGTCGGAGAGCCGGTTTCAGCCCGATCCCCACAGACCAGGCCGAGGGAGCCCACCTGCCAGAGGGACCCCACTTACTCCGCAGACGCTGGGGACGGACCGCAGGAGGTTGGCTCCAGGGCGTGTCCAGCCTGTCTCACCCAGTCCCACCCCACCAGCCACCTTCTAATTAATAGCATTTCAATGTGCATGAATCCGTGCACTGGGTCACTAGTACTATAACACTACCACAGGAGAGAAGCAGCTCGTGGCCAAGAAAAGTTTTTTAATATGAGATGGGCGATGCAACCCCCCGGACCTCCCCCCCCCCCCCCCCCCGCCTGCTTGCATCAGGTGTCATGGGAGCCCATCTCCCTGGTCAGGAGAGGGGGCTTGTGCCTCCCTCAGTCTTCCACAGAGGCCCGCGTACCCACTCATCTGTACTTCTGGGTGTGAGCTCCTGGAAGCCACACAGAAGCTTGATAGGAGGTGCCAAACAGAACAGGACTGCAGGCAAATTGGACTGAGGGTGAGCCGCACTAAGTTGCCTTATGTCCACGGGCATTTGCTGATTCCTTCTCCTAGCAGGAGGCCCGCACTCATGGTCTGAGCCAGACTGCTTCAGAGAGCAAGGGCAGGAAACCGCGCATCCAGCACCTCCCTGATTTCTCACAACCCTACAGAGGAGGAGAAATGTCCCTATACAGAGGGAACTGAGGCTCAGTGGGGCAGTGTGCCTGGCCCCAGTTCAGACCTGGGCTCCAGCCCCATCAGGGTGCTCCCAGATTTCTTTGTTCCTCCCCAGTAACCAGCAGTGCTCGACGTGGAGGCTGGTGATCAGGGAGGAGAGTGAGGATGTGGCCTCTACTGGGCCCTCAGAGTCCCTGTTTACAGCCCCTCCCCTTCTCTTGTCCATCAGTAGCTGTTCTAATTCTTGACCTCCCCATGCCCTACTTCTACTAACCCTCTCTGTTGGTGGGGAACCCTGGATATATCGAAGTGTATTCAGCAGTGCCAAAGGCTCGATTTTGGCACTCATGATCTAGAGCAGCAGTCGCCAACCTTTCGGACCTCATGGACCACCAGTGGTCGGTGGACCATCAGTTGGCAACCGCTGCTCCAAAGGTTTCCTTAAAGCAGTGGTTGCCAATCTTTCGGACCTCACGGACCACCAGTTGGCGACCACTGATCTAGAGGACAGGGAGGGGAGACACACTGAGAGCAAGTCCTCACACAGGGATAAACCTGAGATGAGCGGCTGATCTGCTCACCCTGCTCATCTCTACCCTGGGCCATAGTCCCTGCTTAAACGAGGCTGAGGTCATGTCCCTGCTGTTCACCAGCTCCACGATGGAGGACCTGGTGTTCCACAACAGTTTCAGCAGAGCTGGAGTCTGGACTGTACCCAAAATCTTTGGGCAGAGGCAGTGGGGTCTCAGGGCACAGGCAGCATCTCAGTGGAAGGCGCTGGCCTCACCCTCCATCCTAGCATTCTTTTTTAAAAATTTGTTTTTACTAACTTCAGAGAGAGAGGGAAGGAGAGTGAGAGTGACACAGAAACATCATTTGGCTGTCTCCTGCACCTCCCTTATTGGGGATCGAGTCAGCAATCCAGGTATGTGCCCTGAATGGGAACTGAACCAGTGACTCCTGGGTGCATGGTACGACAATCAACTAAGCCACACTGACCAGGCCAGCCTAGCATCATCATCATCATCATCATCATTATTATTTTATGTATTTATTTTATTTAAAAATATATTTTTAAATTGTTTTTAGAGAGGAAGGGAGAGATAGAGAAAGAAACATCAGTGATGAGAGAGAATCACTGATCGGCTGCCTCCTACACATCCCCTACTAGGGATCAAGCGCGCAACTGGGCATGTGCCCTGATATCCTATACAACCCTGAACAGAGTAGTGAGAGCAGATACTCTTGCCTTGTTAAAAGGGACACTTTCCAAGCATCTCCAGTTTTGGTGGCAGTACCTCTATCCTTGGGGAAGTGTGGACACTTCCCAGGAGAAGGCACTTGACCTGGAAGGCTGTCAGGAGCCTGCAGAAGCAAGGCTGAGGCCAGGGGCAGGGAAAGGCCCTGGCGATGCTGTTCTGGCTACACAGGAGTGGCCTGCAGTAGCTCTGGGACTACCCAGATGTCCTGAGGGCCCTGGTCTCCTGAGAAGTCTTCAGGGCTGGGCGGGCTTCACAAGCCACTCAGCCCACAGACTGGTCATTCTTGTATACCTACATCTGGTCATACATGGTGTCTGCACTCTCCACAGCCAACTGTGCACCTTTGATGGGATACGGGCCACAGTAGCCCCTTTTGCTGAGCCTTAAGTAGCTTCTGACACTGATCTGCCCTCTTGCCAGCAGCCTTCCTGACAACTCTCTGGAACACTTGCTGTTGTGGCTCTCAGCTCCAGTTCCCACTAGCACTAGGCAAACCAGCCTTTCATCCATGGGGCCCTAGGGGTGGAGAGAGCTACCACGCCCACCAAGCTGCTTTCCTGCAGGGCCTCTGAGTCCAGGGCCTTTCACAAGTCTCTGCCCACATCACTCTCGTACTGTGGCAGCCAAGACAGAAAACAAATTTATGCTTTTTGTTTACATTTCTCTTGAGATTGTGAATTCATACAGAGATGTCAGATGCACTGGTGTGGTGAACCACCCAGTATATTATATGAACTTTAATGTATGTCTTCATGGTCTTACAGAGCAGGAGCCCCACCTGCTGGTCGTTTTTTTAAAGTGGAAGAAATATCACCCAGAGATCACATGGTTGCATAGTGTCCACCTGCAAAGCGCCACCTAGTGAGGAGTTTTATATTTAATCTTTTTCTTAAAGATTCTAACAGCAAAAATTGATTACTGTTACGTAATGAAAACTGTCACTACCCACCACATCACCTCAGAGAACAGGAAGAGCTCAAATTGGGATATAAGTTGGAAGTCTTGCTCTTAGTCTTAAAAGGAGAGAAGAAAGATAGTTCTGAAGTCATCAATTACAGTTGATTTGTGAACATACAGCCACACTCAAGTTCAAGTTCTTCAGTGAATACTTGTAACCCAAGAGCTAAAATGAGCCAACCTGAGAGACAGCAGTTAGAGGAGGCCAGGTTGTGTGAGACACACGTTTATTAGAGTATTTGCCAATCAAAGCCTGTGAGACAGCTCTGTGGGCAAATGCTGCCATCGCTGCTATGCCATGTGTTGTGGACTCTCACCTCTCACAAGCCCCTGCCACTGAGGAAGCAATGGGCCATGTAGCCTCTGGCCTTGAATGGGGAAGCTGACTTGTGACCCATCATCAGTCTTACCTGGGTCCAGACACATGAACTTGCAGCACTCCTTGGGGTCCTTGCGGTACTGCTGACAGCCCTGGGGCCGTTCGCAGAGGGCAGCCACGCACATCTCTGGCTCCCCTCCATGGCAGGTGCAGCTCAGGCACGGGTCATCTCCTTTGGGGGTGAAGTAGAGCCCTTCATCCACCACATTGTCCTTGATGTCAACACATGTCTGACCTGCAACAGACACACACAAACACAAATGTATGTTACCAGCAGAACCAGCTCCGAGTCTCCCCAAAAACAACAGAGGAGTTGGCAAGATCAACCTGAGAACCACCTCCTGTGAGTGCTGTTTAAGAGAGGTCACTACAGCTCTGACTGGTTTGGCTCAGTGGATAGAGCGTTGGCCTGCAGACTGAAGGGTCTCAGGTTCGATTCTGGTCAAGGGCATGTACCTTGGTTGAGGGCACATCCCCAGTAGGGGGTGTGCAGGAGGCAGCCGATCGATGTTTCTCTCTCATCGATGTTTCTAACTCTCTATCCCTCTCCCTTCCTCTCTGTAAAAAATCAATAAACTATATTAAAAAATAAAAAAAAGAGGTCACTACAGGACTCTGTTAGGACAAAGCACACCTGGCCAGGGCACACCTAGCTGCAAACCTAGACAGCTAGAACAGAGGAGAGTGCCAGATTCCAGGGGAAAGCCCATGGAAGTGTCTGCTTTTACGATACCTAAGCCCTAGCTGGTTTGGCTCAGTGGATAAAGCGTCACCCTGCGGATTGAAGGGTCCAAGGTTCGATTCTGGTCAAGGGCACATGCCAGGTTGCAGGCTCAATCCCCAGTAGGGGGTGTGCAGAAGGCAGCCAATCAATGACTCTCTTTCATCATTGATGTTTCTATCTTTCTCTCCCTCTCTGAAATCAATAATAATAATAAAAAGATGCCTAAACAGTTTAGTTTTCCTCAATTCTAAGATGTACCTGCTGCACGTATTAACCATTTTAAAATCAGAATGTGTTTTGAATGAGTCTCCCAAGAAGCTGCTGCTACTGCTTGGGAAGACAGTCCATTCAGTCCATTACTGAGGCACACACAGTAAACTCTGTGCAGAGATAACCTGGGATGAGAAGAAGAAGAATGCCCATGGTTAGAGTAAGGAGGAAGCTGAGAACTCAGAGCCTTAAGCTGGCAGATATTACGGATGCTTGGGAAAGGAACTAGGGATGAGGCAGAGGTGGTGTCCAAAGGGATGCATGCTCACTGAAAAACAAAGGGACATGAAAAGGAAGTTAGCATCTGTCTCTAAATAGGTAGGAATGTCTACAAAAACTTCAGAAATTCAACCACCATTGGTTGATGCCTCACTTAAGACTGGAGTCAAATCTACAATTCAAGTGCTCAAGAACTTTCAGGGCAAGAAACTCAGATAAAATTGTTTTCTGCTTGAATAGAAAAGAAAAGAATGAGGAGAAATGAGAGCACACTGACAGCAAAATGGGACACATCAAATGAACCACTATACACAAATCAGAAGGACCAACAGGAGAAGGTAGGAGAAGGAGCAGGAAAAAATATCTGAAGAGACAATGGCTGAAGATTTCTTAAATTCATTGAAAATCTAAATCCTGTACATCTGAGAAGAGCAACAAACTTCAATAGGATCATTGCAAAGAGCTAATAGAGCAAAACAAACCCAAATCAAGACCACAAAATAAATTCTAACAAAGAAAAAAACCACATAATGTTATCTGACCACAGTATGATTAAGCCACAACATTAGAGACTACTAGTAAATACAGTGTATAATCTGTGATTAACCTATGACAGCATGGCTTCCTAGAAGGGGGTAAACATAATGACTAGGTAGGGGCATCAGGAGGCTCCTTCTGGAGTGCCGACAACACTCCACATCCTGATCTGGGAAGTGGTTCCGTATGTGTACATAAAACTTGCACTTAATATTTATGCACTTTGTTTGTATATCTGCATGTATAGAAAAAACTGAGCCTCTTATTAGAGGAACTAAAAATTAAGAATCTAACTCTAGAACTCAGAAAAAGAAAATAATACCAAATGATAGTAACAGGATGAAAATTTGCAGCAGAGACGAATGGCACAGAAAACAGATGCAAAGCACCGAGAATCAATGACCATCCAAAGCTGGTTCTTTATCCTGTAGATGAATCAAAGAGGCAAGCAAGACTGAGCAATACGGCCCTAACCGGTTTGGCTCAGTGGATAGAGCATCAGCCTGTGGACTCAAGGGTCCCAGGTTCGACTCCGGTCAGGAGAATATGCCTTGGTTGCGGGCACATCCCCAGTAGGGAGTGTGCAGGAGGCAGCTGATCGATGTTCTCTCGCATCGATGTTTCTAACTCTCTATCCCTCATCCTTCCTCTCTGTAAAAATTCAATAAAATATATTAAAAAAAAAAAAAAGACTTAGCAATACAGAAGGAAGTATAAATAATATTATAAGTCAAAAGGAGGTCATAATGACATGCCTCAAAAATGCAAAGAGAATGCTAACAGAAGTTTGTAGCAATGAGTTAGAAATTTTATATTGCATGGGCAATACCCTAGATCAGCGGTTCTCAACCTGTGGGTCGCGATCCCTTTGGCGGTCCAACGACCCTTTCACAGGGGCCGCCTAAGACCATTCTGCATATCAGATATTTACATTACGATTCATAACAGTAGCAACATGACAGTTATGAAGTAGCAACGAAAATAATTTTATGGTTGGGTCACAACATGAGGAACTGTATTTAAAGGGCCAGAAGGTTGAGAACCACTGCCCTAGATGAATATGATTTACCAAAACAAACTAAAATATAACTAGAACACTTGAATACATTTAAATGATTTCTTTAATCATTAAAGGAACTAAATCAATATGAAAAATCTGTACCCAAGACATACGTATACACACACGTGCACACGCATGCATGCACACACACACATCTTAGCTCTGTCCACTGAGATGTTGTAAAAGCAATGAGCATAATTAGTGCATAGTCCTCCCTTGGAGAAAAGGCTAATTCCACAGAGTACAAAATTAACCTGAATGATAGGAACAAGTCAAAAGGACAGCTTGTGAAATAAAAACCAATAGAACTCAAAGGAGAAATAGACAATTTCACAATTCTACTTGTGGACTTCAACACCTCCCTCTCAACAACTGATAGAACGCCTAGACAGAACGTTGGCAAAGATATAGAATATTTGAACACCACAGTCAATCAATAGAATCTAATACACACACACACACACACACACACACACACACACACACTTGCTTTCACTCCCCACCCAACAGCGGAAGCCACATTTTTCTGAAGCATCCATGGAACATTCACCAAGACAGAGAGTCACCTGGAGGCATAAAATACATCTCAACAAATTTAAATAACTTATCACATAGAAGTTATTCTCTGACCATAATGGAATCAAACCAGAAATCAGTAACAGGAAAATCTCTAAGCAGACGGAAACTGAATGATGACCTGCCCTTGCCTCCCAGGTTGCATCTGGGCACGATTCCATCCTCCACTCATGGCGGAGGGGACTGGGTGAGGCAAGGGAGCCCTCCCTTCGGTCAGCACAACCACACTGCTAGCCCCCAAAGCTGGAAAAGACCTTGATGTGGAATGTGGGTGAGAGACCACAGGGACCAGCTGACGAGGGTAAGCGGTCCAGACAGGACAGAGAAGCAGAGTGAGGGGTCTCACAAAGACCCCAGGAGAGGAGGGGGAGGTGAGCAAAGGAGTCAGAGGCACCTAGACACCACAGTATCTGGCAAGTCCTGTCACCATTCTCATTTAGTTTACTAACATCCAGGTAGGGAGGGAAGGATTTATCACCTCTATCCTGGGAAAAGAGAAACGAGGGCCAGAAATGGCCATTGCTGTCTAGGTCACAGAACTAAGTAGCAGGCCAGTCAGGCTCATACCAGCCCTGGGTCCCAGGCTAGGCTCTAGCCCTCACCCCCAAGGCACCTGTGCACCTTCAGAGTAAGGTGTGAGCCAGGCACAGCGTGCCTGCTGCCTACTATAAAATGGGTAAGTCCACTCAAAGTTGACATCAATCAAGGTCCAGAAATTAGAAAGCCACATTCTCACAAGAAGCATCATTCCTTCCAGCTCACTAAAGGAGTCAAGTTCAAGGTGGCTTACTTCTTTTACAGAGAAACGAAGACTTCTCATAGCAGTTCTCCGCATGCCAGCTGTGCAGGTCATGGTTGCGGAGAGTGGGGAAGTGGAAGCATTGCAGCTGGGCGCAGAACACATTGTCACTTTCAGACATGGCCGAGGCGAAGATGGGGTCTGGGGGCAGGAAAACCTCTGAGGAACCTATAGGGGAGACAAAAGGGAGGGCTGGCCATTACAACATAATGTCAACAACGTCAACATCCCAACCATGTGCAGTCTTCACAGGGACCGAGGCCTGCCCTAAAGTGGACCATCAATCAAAGAGCTCATGGACCACCATGAGCTCAATTGTGCTGCAGTTATGGCATTAATTCACAACCTCCCTTAGCTCCATGGAGAGCAGGTTTCAGCACTGGGCGATGGGGGCCATGCTCCGCAGGCCAGGGAGGCAAGCGCACGAACAAACCCTACTGGGCTGAGAGCCAGAGGAGGACCATACTTAGATGGGGATGTTTAAAGGCAGAACAACAACATGAAGAGTGAAGCAATGGGTTATAACACAATAATGAAAATGTGTAAGTTCATATGGATAAATTGAACAAATAATAGGGGAGGGGAAAGTTCTCCTTTACAATAGAGTTTTAACTGATAAATAGAGGACTCAAGAAGGAGCCCATTGCTTCTGCCATGAATGCATAATTTAGGCAGAAACGTGGCCCCTACACCCACTAGGAGCACCAGTTGGCCTGGTGAACTCCTGGAAGGCTCCCTGGGACCCACTCCCAGCTCCAGAGAGACTGTCTGTAATCACTCAGCTATTACATTTCAAGTTGGAAATCAGGCGATCAAAAACCACGCTACCACTGCACCCCCGAGTGGGGGTGCAGGGGTGTTGGGGGAGGGGGCCATGAACCTCTAAGCCTCTTTTCTAAGTCCCATGAATCTAGCAGTCTCCTGATCATTCTCCCTCAGATATAACAAATATTAATTAGCAAGCCCTACTCCTGTAAACAGGCACTCAGGTGACACTGTGCAACAACTTGCCTTTTGGAGCTGACATTTGGGGGGGGGGGGGGGAGTAAACAGTGAAGACAGATTCTGAACAACAGAATAAGTGAAGTACACATGTCGAAGGTCATGGCTGCTATAGCAAAAAGAAAGCTGCAGCACAGGGGTGAAGGCAAGCCTCAGAACAGAGAATGGAGGAAGAGGGCTACACTGACATTTCTGACTGCTTGGGTTCAGTGGGTCTCTCGCCACCCACCGGCTCACTGTTTTGCTGGGACTCAAGGGACCCTGCATCTAGCCATAGTGATGGCTAAGATTTATTACAGCGATGCAACAATATACACCAGCAGCAAGGGAGGGACAGTTCAGGTGGAGTCTGGAATAATCCAGGCCAGGCTTCCTCATCCTCCAAGCAGGAAGGTGCCATGGAGTGGGCCACTGCCAGCAGCCCTGCAATACATTTCTGCTAAGAAAAGCCTGGGTGCTGACCTCCGGTCCACCGCAATTCCAGACTTGCCAGGGAAGCAGGTGTTCACCGTAAATCCCTGTTTGTGCCATCTAGGCAGCCTGGCACAGCAGGCTCCATTTAATCCCCAAGCCGGTCCCAGACACTAGCCAGGGCCAGCCTGGCTACACTGCCTTCTCCTGCCCCACACTGGCATAAGCCTGAGCCGGGAAGCAGTGGCCCAGGGAGGGCTTCAATGGGAACAAGGGTGACCCAAGGGAAGAGAAGGTGAGAAGAGCAGGCATCCCTGTGGCTGAAGAGGAGGGCCAGGAGAGTGGTGGAAGGGATGGCAGAGGGAAAGGGCACTCCAGGCCTCAGTGAGGACAGTGTCTTTGCGGGAGGAGAGCCATAAACAGGTGGGGCAGAGGAGTAGAGGACTCTCGCACAAACATGTGAGGAGACTGGGCTGGGTGGGAGTGGGAGCAAGGAGACCAGGCTGGCAGCGGTGGCTGCAGTAATTTAGGTGACTAATGGCAGATCTGGTGGCTGCAATCTGGCAACAAGTGATGAGATTTTGGACACGTTTGAAAGGGGGTGAAGTATGAGAGGAGTCAGAGAGGATCCCTATGTCTCTGGCTCCAGCAAACTCCTCTATTTTAATTCTATCTGCCTGACAGCTTTCCTTCAAGTTTTGGATTTCCGAACTTCTCTGTCCTAGAAAGCCTGAACTTCCCTCCCTGACTCATGCCAGCTGCACACTTTGTATGCTCATTTTTATGCCCTAATTAAAGTCCTTACCTGTAAAAGGAGGATGGTGAGTCTAAACATCTGGCCAAGTAAGAAGCAACCATGTGTTCCAGAAAAGACCCTAGCCTGGAAGAGGGCCTGCTGGTCACCAGAGCCCTCCTGGGCCCATTCCTCCCCATGTCCCCTGTATCAGGTACCCCTAACAGGCTAGGCACCATGGATGATAGGGGGTGGGGGAAGGAGAGGAGACCCTAGCAATATATCCTGTTCAGGATGGTATACCTCAATTTCATACTCAACAACTCTTTTCAGAAGAGGCTTACCCTTTTTCCTTTTTATTTAAATTTATTGATTTTTAGAGAGAAAAAGGGAGAGAAACATTGAATTATTCTACTTATTTATGCATTCACTGGTTGATACTTATGTCTTGATTGAGGACCAGACCTGCAACCTTGGCATTTCGGGACAACACTCTAACCAACTGAACTACCCGGCCAGGGCCCAGAAAGGCCTACCTTTGAATGCTACCTCCCAGTGGCCTTCTAAGGAGCTGTTCCGGCTGGTGACGACATACTGGTAGCCAACCCACAACCTGCGAGAGGGCAGAAATGCAAGGAACCTTAGCATGGCAGCAGGAAAGCAGCCACTGATTGTGCATGAGTGTATTTTAATAGTTACACTGACCATTAAAGTACTGAGCCTCTAAAATGCTAATGACTTTTTAAAGTTTTTAAATACTTACTTTTAATAAAATACATTAAAATTCTAAAGAATAAATTCACAGGTCAGAAAAAGTTTTATCTTGAGTGACTCCTGCCAAGACTGTCTTATCGATCCAAGAAAGCTTTCAGTCCGGCCAGTGTGGCTCAGTGGTTGAGCGTCGAACTATAAACCAGTGGACACAGTTTGATTCCCAGTCAGGGTCATGCCCTGGTGTTGGGTGGGTGCAGAAGGCAGCCAATCAATGATTCTCTCTCATCACTGATGCTTCTATCTCTCTCTCCCTCTCCCTTCCTCTCTGAAATCAATAAAAAATATATTAAAAACAAAACAAAAACACAAAAAGCCTTTCAAGTTCTAAGCAAGACCAACCTTATCTGCGATGGACATAGAGGCCCTGTGAATACACTAAAGCAGAGGTCGCCAACCTTCTGGACCTCACGGACCACCAGGCACAGAACAGTACCTTTAAAGGAGTGAATTTTATGGCATGTGAATTAATCTCAATAAAAACCAAACCCCAGTAAGTATACACTGCAGGGGTGGGTAAAAGCATGCTCACGGCCTCCAGCTTGGTCACGTGCTCAGAGCCAGCGTGCCCAGGCCTGCCCAGAACACAAGTCACAGCACGGAGGGGGCGGTGCACGTGAACCTGGTCGACTGCCACAGCCACCTGTTGTGTGTGCCCCTCATCCAAGCCTTCCAGTCCAGCCCTGGAGATGCCTTCCGCAAGTCCCACCACTGTGGGAGCCATGGCATTGTGCCACTCTGCCCCTTCAGCCTACTGCCATGCACACGCCCACCTGAAGGAGACAGGGTGCTTCCCTACCTACTGGGCTGAGCCCTCTTGCTTTTCCATGAACTTATAACCACCCTGTGAACTAGGAATTATTTTTCTCACTTGGTAGCTGCAGAAGAAAAAACAGCATGGTATCATGATTTGCCAGTGTCACAGGATATGATGGTGGAGCCCAAAACCCAGCTCAGGTCTTAAAATAAAGGCTCTCTGTCCACTTGACATGGTCCTCTTGTTAATACGGCAGCTTGTGCCTTTGCTGGGGAGTACTGGCAGTCTGGCAAGCTCTGCAATTCCCACTCCTGCCCCCAGCAGTGTGGATGGGGCAGCATGAGGCCACACATCACAGGTCATAGCACACGCCTGCCCCCACAACCCGGGGCCTGGGAGATGCTGGCAGTTGGCCAGTTCCCACACTTTCTCCTCAGTGCTACAGAGCCTGGGGTCAGGAGCCAGGTTCTGGAGTTAGACTGCATGGGCTGGAACCCAGACACATCCCAGCTAGTGTGTGCCTGTGGTCACATGCTTGTCCACCTGGGCCTCAGTCTTCTTGCCCACTGGTCTCCTGTGGTTTCTGGGAGGACTGAGTGATCGAGCCCATTGAAAGCACTAAGCAGTGGGCCTAGCAAAGCCTGTTTTCTTGGAAAGAACTACCACCCACCTGTGCACCCCTTGTGCTGGGCCTAGAAAAGCCCACACTGAGCAGCCCCTCCTGACACAGGCTAGGTCTCCTAACACGTCAGCAGTTGCAACTGAACCTACAGAGGACCAACAAAAGAGACTGGCCCAAGGTGGCAACCCATCTCTGCCCTTCCAAGATCCCCCACCCCATCTCAATGCCCACTCTAAACCACTGAATCTCCATTTCCAGTGGGTGGAGCTGCTCTTCCCAAAAATGCCGGCTGCTGGCTATGCCTTAGGACTACCATGGCGGCCAAGAGGCCATGTGCTTGGTGGGCACTGGTCTGAACTCTGGCCCCTGGGTTCCCACCCAGTACTCACTTGTGCTGGTCCTGCCAAGCGAAACTCCGCTCTGGCTGGTCCCATTCTTGGGCCAGGACAAAACGCAGCTCCTGGTCGGTGGAGAAGGTGGCAAGGGAGCCATTGACGCGTTGGCAGGTCTGTGCAGCGTCCCAGTAGTTCTCTCCACTCAGGTAGACCCTGTAGCAGCTGGCCGTGCCTTCATAGTGGTGCCACCCTGTCGGACACTTCCCTAGGAAACATGAAGGACAGAAGGGGAGTTGTCCCCCCAAATTAGGATCCTCACTCCAAAACAAAATTTTATGTTGCTCAGAAATCACCCTAGAGAAATGGGGAAACTGAAGCTCAAGAGGAAAATTTCTGCCCCTAAGAACCACATACTTTGTGGCATACTCAAGTTTCTCTACAATACAGATGCAACCTAAAGTACAAGTATATTCAGTGGTGAGTCTTCCCATTTGTAAAAGGTCTTTAATTTACTTGGCAGTAAAGACTCACTGCTGGATTCTTTGGATAAAGTGGATTCATTCTCTAAATAAGTCTGGTTGACCAGATGGCAGAACTGCCCACACCAGCTCACCGCAAGTCCTGGTAGGAGTGAGCAAGGAGGTTCCCTGCCCACTTTGCCCTCACTGCCCAAATGCTGGCTCTTTTGGTCACTCTGCCAGCAAGCCCACGGCTTCTTGAGCCTACTCCTTGGTTCTCTGTTCACATAGGGGCTGGCTAGCATTCCCCTAAAACAGAAGCTCAGGAGATCATAGCTGGAAGGGCACTGAGGTTGTGGGAGCAACTCCTGCCTTCTACAGATGAGAATATGACGCCCAGGTGGTTCCATAGTGGGCAAAAGCCAAGTAGCCAGTTGAAGTCATAGTCTCCGCTAGATGAGATGGGCCAGATATCTTCTTGCCAGGTGGACCCACCCTGAGAGTGGCAAGGCTCCATACCAAATGGCTGGCCTTGGGTAAGGGTAATGACCTGTTCTACAGGATGTATAACCTTCAAATGCCAGGGTACCTAACTCCTAACTAAAAGTACACTGATGGGCCCTGGCCAGTTTGGCTCAGTGGATAGAGTGTCGGCCTGCTGACTGAAGGGTTGCAGGTTCGATTCCTGCCAAGGGCACATGCCCGTGTTGTGGGCTCGATCCCCAGTAGGGGGCGTGCAAGAGGCAGCCAATCAATGATCCTCTCTCTTCATTGATATTTCTAACTCTCTTTCCTCTCCCTTTCTCTTTGAAATCAATAAAGATATATTTATAAAGAAAAAAAAAGTACACTGATGGGCCCTAGCTGGTTTGGTTCAGTGGACAGAGCATTAGCCTGCAGACCAAAGGGTCCCAGGTTCGATTCTGGTCAAGGGCACATGCCCGGGCTGCGGGCTCGATCCCCAGTAGGGGGCATGTAGGAGGCAGCTGGTTAATAATTCTCTCTTATCATTGATGTTTCTCTCTTCCTCTCCCTTCCTCTCTGAAATCAATTAAAAGAAATATACATACATACATACATACATATATATATATATATATAGAGAGAGAGAGAGAGAGAGAGAGAGAACACTGATGAAGAGTAACACTTTTTTTTACAAAGCCAGTTAACAAAATGCAATTTTTTAATGCTTCAACATCTTGTGGAACTAGTAAAACTTCTTAAAGACTGATGGCTTGTGTTTTTATTGTTTAAAATATATATATATATAAAGTATATATTTATATTTACTTTATATATATATAAATATAAATATATATATATAAAGTATATATTTTTATTGATTTCAGAGAAGAAGGGGGAGGGAGAGCTAGAAACATCAATGATGAGAGAGAATCATTTACCAGCTGCCTCCTGCATGCCCCTGACTGGGGTTTGAGAGCCCACAACCGAAGCATGTGCCCTTGACCGGAATCAAATCCAGGAACCTTGAGTCAACAGGCCGAGGCTCTATCCACTGAGCCAAACCAGCTAGGGCTTTTAAATATATTTTATTGATTTCAGAGAGTAAGTGAGAGGGAGTGAGAGATGACACATCCGTGATGAGAGAGAATGATTGGTTGGCCACCTCCTGCACGCCCCACATTGGGGATTGAGCCCACAACCCAGGCATGTGCCCAGACCGGGAACTGAACCATGATTCATGATTCACTGAACCCTGGCTCATAGGTCGATGCTCAACCACTGAGCCACGCTGGGTGGGCTGTTTTTATTATTTAGGACACGTGTGTGTGTGCGTACCTTATTATGAACAATGGGAATGAGATTACATGAGAGGAAAGGTACCCCTGGCCCCAGAGCCAACAAGGCATGCCGTAGCACTACTGCAACGCCGACAGTGGGACAGCACCATCTGCCACGGAGCTCATAGGAAGGCGTTCACTGTAGACAGGAGCCAGCCCTCAGGGACCACCAAGCAGGAGAAGGGGAGGTCTATGGAGTTCATGGAATGGGTGTGAGGATAGGGGGACTACCAGGTGGCCTTTTACTGTATGTTTTCTAAGCTCCCTACCACCATGATGTGTTTAACCTGCCAAAGCCCCCATATGTGGGTTCCATCTGTCCCAGGTTAGAGGTGGGAACACCAAGGTGTGCAGAGGCCAAGCATCTCGACTGGCAGGTGTCAGCTTGGGCTTCCATCTTGGCTCCTCACCCACATCTAGGAATGGGTCCAGAGGAAGCCCTCTGGGGACAGAAGCCAGTGAGTGGGGGCAACAGAGAGAGGGAACATCTTTTTCTACCCGTTGAACTTTGTGGAATTATTCCCTACATAGATTACCCATTCAAAGAAAGTAGATTAAAGATAAAAGGACAGTGCATGGAGCTGAGAGTCACGATTCCAGGGGCTGCCCCATTGGCTGTGTGAGCTCTCAGAGGCGCAGTTTCCTCACTCACCAAGCTTGCACTACATCCCTGTGACAATCCCTGGAGTCCACAGCTCAAAGCCGAAGGGACCTGAGTGTCTGTGTGGTGAGAAGACTTCTGCAGTCCAGCTCTGAAAGGCAGCCATCTTGTAAGCAGCCGATTCCATAGCCCAAGTTGGTGTCAAGGATTCACCACTCTCAACCTGGATGGCCTTGGCTGGGTCACCGTGCAGCCTCATACCAAAAGAGGATTATGCCAGTCTGCCCTGAAGGGCTGTTTTAAAAGACACACTGTACCCCTCACACAGCCAAGTGGCACCAGGAGAGCCAGGGAACATATAGGGTTATGAGGCTTTATCACACACAGGGCAGGTCTGCAACTTACTGCTGAAGCGAACAGGCTGCGCCACATTCACTGCGTGGAAATGCGTGGGGTCGCCACCTCGGGCCCGCCCCTGCCTCGGATCCACAGCTTCCTTCCCATGGTAAGATCGAGAATCCCCAGTCACTTCTGAAAGCAAAAAGAGAAGTGGACTGTAAACACTGCTCTCACAGCAGAGTGGGCAGACTACTTGAGGCTGGGAGACCAGATGTGGTTGAGCATAGATTACATTTATTCAGGTTTTCTTAAGAACTCTATAAAATGTTGCTATTGGTATCAAATGGGTTATACGCACATCTTACTAAAATTACTCCTTAGTAGTCTTCATTTTTTTACTACTATCATGAAATGAGGTTTTCCCTTCTTGTATTTTCTAACAGGCTATTGCTGGCAAAGCACTGGGTCAGCCATTCCTGCTGCAAATCCCTCAGTAGCTCTAGCCCAAGCATGCCAAACTCACAGCCAGCAAGCCGTATGCCTTGTTTAACCATGCTTGCTCTATCTAGCCCAGGGGTGGGCAAACTTTTTGACTCGAGGGCCACAATGGGTTCTTAAACTGGACCGGAGGGCCGGAACAAAAGCATGGATGGAGTGTTTGTGTGAACTAATATAAATTCAAAGTAAACATCATTACATAAAAGGGTACGGTCTTGTTTTTTTTTTAGTTTTATTCATTTCAAACGGGCCGGATCCAGCCCGCGGGCTGTAGTTTGCCCACGGCTGATCTAGCCCCTTGGGGTTTCTTCTAGAACATAGGCTGCCCTCCTGCCCTGACTACCTGGGAGCCTCCCCTGGGAGCATGAAGGGGGCATGGCATGGGGGGTGGAGGAACGTGGTGTGTCTAGGGCAGCCGTGGGCAAACTACGGCCCGCGGGCTGGATCCGGCCCGTTTGAAATGAATAAAACTAAAAAAAAAAGACCGTACCCTTTTATGTAATGATGTTTACTTTGAATTTATATTAGTTCACACAAACACTCCATCCATGCTTTTGTTCCGCCCTCCGGTCCAGTTTAAGAACCCATTGTGGCCCTCGAGTCAAAAAGTTTGCCCACCCCTGGTCTAGGGCAAGTGGTTGGAAGGTGAGGTGGTGTCCCACAAACCCACCTTCCCAGACTGGCTGGCAATTAGCCCCACTGACTAAAGTTTCTCCAGCCATCTGGCTCTGCTATTATTACAGACTCTGATACTCTTTTTATTTCATAAATAACCTATTTTTTCTCAGTATAAAATAAATATTCAATGCAAAATATTTGAAAAATACGTTTGAAAAGACAAAGCGTATTAGCCCATTACTATGTTAGGGCCCACCCTTCAGTGTCTTTTTTTTACATAAATCCTTAAAACTCTATTTTAGGATCTGCTTTGTAAGCTTAAGACTATATACAGCTTCCCATATTCTGAAATAAACTTAAGAAGACCATTTTTAATGGCTGCATGGTATTCTGTGAATGAATTTCTTTAATTACCACCATCTCCTATGGTGCAAAATTTAGGTTGTTTGCATCCTTCCAATACTCTAAGAAGGGTTGCACTGAACGACTTGGACATAAATCTGTTTGTGCCTCATTATTTTCTTTTGAGACCTGAGAAGTCATGAGCCCTACCAGATTTGGCTCTCCCCCACTAAGTATTGAGGAGAGTATTTCCAGCTCCTTCTCTGGCATATGATGGGGAGCGGGTGTCCTTTGATTGCCAATCATTCTAAAATATAAAATGTGCTACCAGTGTCTGAGATAAACTCAACATAAAGCAAAGACCTCAAAGGGAAAGCATCTTCGAGGCCTTGGAGTGATCTCATCATCAACACAACCACCTCATTTGCTGCTGCCCCTGTGGAAGGTGGCCTGAGGCTGCAGCTGCTCTCTTCCAACACCCAGCCCTAGGAGCCACTGGCACCATCTCTCTAGGACTGGAGTGCCCCATGCACACACCCTGAGCACCACTGCTCCCGGGAGGAGACGGACAGTTCTGGCACAGGGACAGCGCTACAAAGCCCTCCTCCTCCCTTCTCCAGGCAGGCAGAGGATGGGGAAGAGCCACAGTGCCTCCTGAGGGAGGGTGGACTTAGGATCGGGAGATGAGGGAAGGGAACGGAGGGGCTTCCCAGCAGAGGGCACACAGCTTGGGCAAAGGCAGGCATGTCTGGGACAGGCTTCAGGACAAGCTTGGGTGTGGTAGAAGCCACACCTAAATTTCATATCTCCCTTCTGTCTGCTCAAACGAGCAAGACCTGTGATTCCACTTGACGTCTTGGCCCCTTCCCCAGACCAAGAGCAGCATCTGGTCTATGACAGGCCACAATGCTCACAGACAGATGGATCCAGGACAGTGATTTTTCAATCCTTTTCATCTCATTAAAATTCTGTGGCATAACAAAAAATATATATAATTTTTTGCCCATCTGACAAAAAAAAAAGAAACAATTTTGATTCATTCACACTAGATGGCTTTTGTTGTATTGATTGCTGTCATTTTTAATTTGACAATCTAAGGTAAAAGAGGCCAGTGCCCCTGACTAAATATTGCATGCTTTAAAAATCTTGCAGCACACCGGTTGAAAATCGCTCATCTAGGACATGGGGGAAGAGAAAGAAAGGTAACAGTGTTCTGCTGGGTTACATAGGTGCTGACCATCACCAGGTGGCCTGGATGCTGACTGTGCAGAAGAGAAGCCATCTGCAGCATGGGGGTGAAATAGTTAAGGAAAGAAAGCCTGGTGGTGATGGAAAAAGCTACTTTGTGCAGAGCAGGCTTCTCCAAAGTTCAGAAGGCAATTTTGAGCCCTTCTCTTTTCTATCATTTCTCTTCCTACCCAAATGCCCACATCCATCCCATCACTCATTTATTCAGTGCCCATTACATGCTGCCAAGGAAACCTACCAACACAGACATGGGCCTTTGCCAGCAAGAAGGGGAAGGGCGTGGCTAAGGAGGTGAGGGTGGTGGGGGAAGATGCAGAGCACAGGATCAGCATCCTTACAAACCTATCAGGACCCCTCTGACAATAAAGAATTTGCTTCTGAGACCCAGTGTTTCCCCATTAGGGCCAGCTGGAGGGTGTGCAGCTCTCACAGCTGAGCCAATTTATGTGCAGCTATGCAGACACCCCTCCGTTCCCTCTCTACTTTAGTGTGCCAGGCACTGTCCGAGGCATGGGGAATACTGTAGTGGGCAGTGAACACAACAGAGAATGATCCTGTCCCCGCTTAGTGATAAGACATGCCCTCCTGAGCCTTCCTCTCCCATCCAGCAACTGGCCGGGACTGTGACTGTGACGGGGCCCAAGCCCAGTCCTGCAGTCCTGGAAAGAGTGCTCCCTGCAACACAAGCTGCCACTTATGCTCTTCTCTCCTCAGATGTTCTCACCAGGACTCCAGAGCAGCTCCGCCTACCAAAGACTGAATGGGAACCCACAGAAGATGTGAAGCCAACATGGTTGACTTGCTATTGAAAAAAACAAAACAAAAAACAAGGAAAAGGGAAATGTTATACAGATGGGAAAGCAGGCTCAGTAGTGTCATGAGACTTGCTTCAGAGCAGAAGTGGAACACAGAAGAGGTGGGCCCTCCTCCTCCAAGTTCACAAGACCTGAGTCACCCTGTCTCACAACCTGGCCACCTGAAGCCTGTCTCCACCTGACCCCCAGGGCAGCTGCCTCCTCTCCAGGCTTTCAGATCCACTGGGCACCAGGCTTTCTGCTTCCCCAGCACATGTCTCAAGGGAAAGCTGGGCAGCTGCTCGAGAGCCCAAGTCCAACATGGAAACTGAGTCAGGGCAGGTACTGGCATGCTTGCTTCCCAATAGCATTTGGCCAGAAATGAGTATTATATGTAAACTAGAGGCCTGATGCATGAAATTCATGCAAGAGTAATTCCTCCCCCACCCCCCCTCCCCACCCCGCTGCCAGCACAGGCTTCCCTCTGGCACCCGGGACTAGGGCTTCCCTCGCAGCCCCAGCTTCCTCTGGAAGGTCGTCTGGAAGGTCATCTGGTCTAATTAGCATATTATGCTTTTATTATTATGGATAAAATATAAAATATGAGTGATTCTAATTTGTGTTTCTAGAACTTAAACAAATATATTAGGTCCAGATGAGCTTATAACTTCTCTGAATGGAGAGGGCAAGAATGACTGGAGCCTCTTCAGCACACACATCACTTTCCTACTTTACACCAAAACAGGTTTAAATCATGGTAAAAAATCAGACGTTACTCAGTAAGTCAAATAACACTTACTTACCAAAATGGGATTTCTAACATGAGAACCTAAAACGTGTATTCTGCTGTTGTTGGGTGATCCTGTAAGTCCCCAAGGCTCTGTTCACTTTCTTTATTGCTACCTTTTGATAAAGTGAAGATCTTAAGTGTTCTATATTATCTTCTAGAAGTTTTTCTTTAACTTGAAACCAATTTTCCTGTATGTTGTACATTAGGGATCCAATTTCTTTCTTTTCCGACTGTCACAGCACTACATACTGAAGAATCTAACCTTTGCCCAGTGACATGTAATTCCACCTCTGCCATATATCATGTTTCTGGCAGCTCTTCTGTTCTACTGGCCAATTCATGCTACCCTGAGCCAACTGTAAAGTAAGCCTTGACATTGGTAAGGGAAATGCTCACTCCTGACTCTTTTTCAATATCAGGACATTATTCTTCCAAACCTTAGAACTGACTTGCCACATTTCCCAAAAACCCTTTGGAGATGCACTGAGTCCACAGATCAGTATAAGAACAGGCAGCTTTAACATATTAAGTCTTCCTAGCCAAGAACATCCTGCCTCAAGTCTTCTTTAATAACTCTTAATAAAGTTGTAAATTTTTCTCCATTAAAAATTTTACACATCTTTGCCGAAGCCGGTTTGGCTCAGTGGATAGAGCGTCGGCCTGCGGACTGAAGGGTCCCGGGTTCGATTCCGGTCAAGGGCATGTACCTGGGTTGCGGGCATATCCCCAGTAGGAGATGTGCAGGAGGCAGCTGATCGATGTTTCTCTCTCATCGATGTTTCTAACTCTCTACCTCTCTCCCTTCCTCTCTGTAAAAAATCAATAAAATATATTTTAAAAAAAAAATTTTACACATCTTCTGTTAGTTCCCATTTATATCAAATATGGTTCAGTTAGAAGAACAGAAACCATGCCAGCTATTTCAAACACAAAGGGGTTTAATATAGGGAAGTTGTGCTTTAGAAACAACTGAAAAGGCTGGAGGTTTGTGTCAAGTGGGCCACCTCTGTCTATTTCACCATTGCAGCTGCATCCAGAGAGTCAGGAAGCTGCTGTTGCCATCCACAGGTGAGGAAACTGCAGAAAAGCGCTGCCAGACCACAGCTGCCCTGCAGCCCTGAGACAGTTGGCCAGTGAGGGATGTGGAAGCCACTGCACTCACTCATCTAGGTCTAAACCACACATCCATGTCAGAGCCAGAGGAAGAAGGATTCTTCTACCTCTCTTCCACTTTCCAAATTTCAAGGGAAGGATCTCATGGGCAAATGATACCCAGAAGCCTACTGGCAGGGGATCTGAGCCTTCCAACCCCAAAAGGCAGGGAATGTACTACCGAATGCCCAGCCTATAGCATACCACCCATTTTCTATCTTACAAAACCACACTGATATTATGATCCACTGCTACATGTTTCATTTTATTTGACCCTGTGGCCTTATATCTTATTGTAATTTTAGCAGGCTTTTAGAAGGGCAAAGAAATAATCTCGCATGGTCACTCCAGAGTCCTGAAGTCCATGTTCAAAAGCAAACTAAGTTCTGGCCGGAGTGGCCCGGTGGTTAGTCCTTGTTGAGTTTGTGCATGCACAGTTGTCGTCATCATGCACTCAATGGTCTGGGTCTAGAACAAGCATTGTCAAACTCGCGTCCGGTCGTGAGTTTGACATGCTTGGCCTAGAATATGCCATCTACTCAGAACTCTGGGCTCTGTAGGATAGACTTTATTTTTCTATCTGGGAAGAAAATACAGGAACCTATGTAAATTCAAGTCAACACTTACACTGAGCAGACTTGTAACCCTTTGTGCCAACCAAGTAACCCAAAAGAGAAATCAGATCTAGTTCCTGCCTTCAGCAAGTCCACTGAGCATTGAAAGATGAAGCTGAACCATACAAGTGCCTATCATTGCTTCCAATATCTATAATAGGGCAGTTATTACACCTAACCTTCAAAGCTAAGCCAAAAGGTGCTTTGAAAACAGCAGATAAACCATGCTCCCATTTTAAAGCAAGCCAGGAATCATTTGGTTCTTTGTTCAGAAAACTCTCTAGGAGGCTACATATGAAGCCTCAACCTGTAAGTCACACCAGGGGAAGCTCACCAGGCCAACCCAGCATATAGGAAATTCTCAAACACTGGGAAGTTCACACTGTCTGGTCTGTGACCCAAGGAATGACCAGGTGGTCTCCCAGACACAGAACTATCCCAGAGGCTCCTAAACCAGCCACCACTATTCAAACTCTTATTTGGAAAGGTAGGCGCCTCAACCACAGACATGCTCATCTAATGAAGGAAGAACAGGCCTAAGGGATGATTAAAAAATAAGTCCCGCCCTAGCCAGTTTGGCTCAGTGGATAGAGTGTCGTCCTGTGGACTGAAGGGTCCTGGGTTCAATTCCTGTCAAGGGTACATGCCTGGGTTGTGGGCTCGATTCCAGTAGGGGCATGCAGGAGGCAGCCGATCCATGATTCTCTCTCATCATTGATGTTTCTCTCTCTCTGTCCCTCTCCCTTCCTCTCTGAAATCAATAAAAATATATTTTTTAAAAAAAAGAAATTATTTAAAAAAATGGGTTCCTTTACAGGGGTCATTTTTTTAAAAAAATATATTTTATTGATTTTTTACAGAGAGGAAGGGAGAGAGATAGTTAGAAACATCGATCAGCTGCCTCCTGCACGCCCTCTACTGGGGATGTGCCCGCAACCAAGGTACATGCCCTTGACCGGAATCGAACCCGGGACCTTTCAGTCGGCAGGCCGATGCTCTATCCACTGAGCCAAACCGGCTTCGGCTACAGGGGTCATTTTTAAAAATGTATATATTTTATTGATTTTTTACAGAGAGAAGGGAAAGGGATAGAGAGTTAGAAACATCGATGAGAGAGAAACATCGATCAGCTGCCTCCTGCACACTCCCCACTGGGGATGTACCTGCAACCAAGGTACATGCCCTTGACCGGAATCGAACCCGGGACCCTTGAGTCCGCAGGCCGATGCTCTATCCACTGAGCCAAACCAGTTAGGGCTACAGGGGTCATTTTCATAGACAAATACATTCCAAACAGACCACCTCCATTTCTTGTTTTGGAACCATCCCTCAATGAACTGTCCCAAGCTCAAATGTCAAATGCTAATTGATGTCCCACCTGATCCCCTAGTTGGAGTTTTTTCCAGCACCTGGCCTATAGGAATTACAAGACTCCTTTCATTTACTGAATGCTGAAAAGGACCTCATCCCACTGAGGAAGAAGACAGGTCTCCTGCCCTCAGGGAACTCAGTCTGGAAGGAGAGATCAAGCATGGGCACAAGTGATGAAGAATTACCAGTGGTTCTATGTGCTGCCAGAGAGGGATAGAGCAGGTTATTAGCAGAAGCCAACCTATAGCCATGGAGCCCACAGATGCCTTCATGTTGTGGAATCATCTAGCCAAGCCTTGAAGGATAGGCAGGATCTGCCCACATAGAAACAAACCAAGAGGATCCCAGGAAAAAAGAAAGGCATAAACAAAGCATGTGGCTAGGAAATTCTTTTTTTCTTTTTATAAAAAACATTTTTTAAAAATTTATTTCAGAGAAGAAGGGAGAGGGAGAGATAGAAACATCTATGATGAGAGAGAATCATTGATCGGCTGCCTCCTGCACACCCTACACTGAGGATCGAGCCCACACCCTGGGCATATAACCTGACTGGGAATTGAACCATGACCTTCTGATTCATAGGTTGATGGTCAACCACTGAGCCACGCTGGCCAAGCTAGAACATTCTTAATGGGGTGGGCACAGGAAATAGCCTAGCTGAGTCACAGAAGGGAAAATAATCATAAATTGGATTGGCAAAAAACAAGCCAGACTGTGAAGAAATTTGAGTGTGAGGCTGAAGAGTTTAGGTCTGAGATTCCTTCCTCTTAGGGCTTTTATCAGAACCACCCGGGTCTTAAACATATTCCATGTGTATGTGTGTATGTGTGTGTGTCTCTCTCACATACTTACTCATGCCGGAGTATACGCAAGACACTACACTGTCCATCCTAACCAAGTTGAGAACCCGGGGTGTGGTGAACACCATTACTCATGGGGTGTTATATTCTTTGAGCGTACTGGAACAGAAACCAGGTAGAGAAACAACAATTTAGACTCTCTGGCATTCTGTCTTTGTGAGCATACACATCATCAGGAGAAAGATTACTAGTGACTGAGTGAGCAGGGCAGATAGGCAGAGCCAAGGCCAGTAAAAGTGACCCTTGTCAGGATTCTAGCCAAGTTTCACAACACCTACTTCCAAAACCAGGCAAGAGGAAAGGGAAGAAGCTACCATACTTTAGGTGCTGCTCTCAGGGCCAGCAGCACCTCCCCAAATGTGGTATCATGGGCACCTCTCTTGCCTCACAACGCTCACACTGCCATCTTAAAACTTCTGAGATCTACCTGTGTTAGGCATTTAAAAAAAAAAAAAAACAAAAGACAGAGAAAGAAAGAGGACAGGAGGAGCTTAAAATAACCTTCCAGCACATGGATACAGCACTGGATACCAGTTGACAGCATCTCCCCTGATGGGAAGCATGGGCCACATGCATCTGCCTGCCCAACACTCACCTGGACAATTGGCTTCGTCGCTCTCATCCTCACAAGTCACCCAGCCGTCACACTGCCAGGGGAGAGGGATGCACTGGATGGTACCACTGCGACAGGCAAACTGCCCAGGGTTGCACCGCAGCTCTGTGAAACCAAAGGGCAAGAGGCCATTGAGGAAGTGGCAGTAGCAGCGGAGACCAGGAGTGGCCAGGCCTGCCACCGCCTGGCCCTGCCACCACCGGTCTCCATGTGCATGGGCCAGGCAGCCTACCTACAGCCCCACTCCTTGGAGGCTTGCATGTATGCCCCAAGGAAGAGCCAAGAGCTGTGCCCAAAACGCCACAAATATCCAGAGCATCATATCCCCCCAAGATTTTGACCTTTATGTGCGACCATTCAAACATACACTGTGGCATTTCTGTTCAGCATCAGGCTATGCAGTGCACTGCAGAGGGGACAGAAACAAGAGGGTACACCTCTCACCTCCTGAGGGATTCTGGGTCAATAGAGAAGACACACATACACTAGATACACATATATGGATAAACACACACACACACACGGTTTTCTGACAAAGCATAAATGGAGGTCACCACCACAGAAGCACTCGAACAACATGCTGAAACAACATGAAGGAGAAACTGCCTCCACCTGGGGGGCTCAGGAATGCTTCTTAAAGAAGGTGGGATGTAAACAGGGTTCCCAAGGCAGGCAATGGTTTCAGAGGTACATATAACATAATAGGAAGGGACGAGCGATCCAGAAAAAGCAGGGCTTAAGGAAATATTATAAGGCAGGAGAACATGCCAATTAGACTGTGTGAGCTGACAAATGCAGAATCACTGGAGATAAGATTGGAAATGTAAGAAGAATCAGACTGTGGTGGCTTTCAGGGTAAGATAATGCTGACCTTTATTTGGTATGTTGTAGGGGACCAACAAGTAATATGGTAAGATCCGTGTTTTAAGCAGGTATCACTAGCAATGATTTCTGGAAGCAATTAAAATAGAAGGCCAGACAAAAATATTAACTCAGCCAAGTAAGGTCTTGAACTGAGGCAGGGGTCGGCAAAATTTACAGCTCATGGGCCAACGCCTGTCCTTCCCACCGTTTTTTTAAAAATAAAGTTTTCTTGGAATTGTGAGCTGTGGGACAACTTCAAGCACCCTTAACATACTTGTACTTGGAGGGGGGGGGGATCAGACAAAATATTTGAAGAAACAATGGTAGAACAACTTCCCAATTTGATGGAAACTATAAACCTGCAGATCCACAAGCTCAATGAACCCCATACACAAGACATATAAAGAAAATTACTCCAAGGCACATCATAATCAAAGTGCTTAAAACCAGCAATAGAGAAAATTTTAAAAGCAGCCAGAGGAGAAAAGACATCACACAGAAAAACAGATAAAGACAACAGGTTTCTCATTATAAACAATACAAGCTGGAAGACAGTGGAGAAACATTTTTAAATTCTGAAAAAAAGAAATAGCTGTCGTCCTGGCCGGTTTGGCTCAGTGGATAGAGCGTCGGCCTGCGGACTGAAGGGTCCCGGGTTCGATTCCAGTCAAGAGCACATGCCCAGGTTGTGGGCTCAATCCCCAGTGTGGAGTGTGCAGGAGGCGGCCAATCCATGATTCTCTCTCATCATTGATGTCTCTCTCTCTCTCTCCCTCTCCTTTCCTCTCTGAAATCAATAAGCATATATTAAAAAAAGAAAAAGAAAAAGAAAAGAAATAGCTGTCAACCTAGAATTATTTAAAGCAAAAACATGTATACTACATTGTAGGGTTTAAAACACGTAGCAGTAAAACTGTGACAATAGCACAATAGCTGGAAAGAAGAAGGGAAGCATACTGTTTTAATGCTTTTATACGCCACAGGTAAAGTGGTCTGTCATGTGAAGGTAAACTATCATAAGTTAAAGAAAAATATCACTAAACTAACAAGAGTTATAGCAAGTAAGTCAACAAAGACAACAAAATGGAATAAAAAGTCAATTGAAAAGAAGGCAGAAAGAGAAAAAGAAATTAACAATAGATGGTACAAAAAGTAAAACAAATAATCAATTCTGCCTAATCAGTAAACATATGGGATGATCTAAACACCCGAAAAGACAAAATTTGGCACATAGGTAAAAAAAAAACACAAGACCCCACTCACTATGTATTGCCTAAAAAAACCTCTTTATATGAGGACACAAATTGGTGAAAATAGAAGAATGGAAAACATGCTAACACTGATCAAAAGAAAGCTGGAGTGGCTATATTAATGCCACACAAAGTAGACTCCAAAGCACTTAATATTACCAGAAATAAAGGTCATTTAATAATGATAAAGAACATAATAATCCTAAATGTTTATGAATCTATTGCAGAGCTTTAAAATATGGATGAAAAATTGCTATAGCTGCTAATAGACAAATTCACAATTACAGTCAGAGATTTCACTCTCCTCCAAACAACCTGAACAACACTATCAACCAACTGGTCTGAACCAACACTTATAGAACTCTCCACCCAAAAACAGTGGAATACACAACTATTTTCATATGCATACATATATAACATTGACCATAATAGAGAATGTTATGGCCATAAAACAAATCTCAAATTTATGACTGACATCATATGGAGTATGTTGTTTGACCACAATTTAATTAAAAAATTAAAAATCAACAACAGCCAGGCTAGTGTGGCTCTGTGGTTGAGCACTGGCCCATGAACCAGGAAGTTATGGTTTGATTCCTGGTCAGGACACGGACACATGCCTGGGTTGCAGGCTTGATCCCCAGTAGGGGTCATGCAGGAGGTGATGTTTGCCTCTCACTGGTGTTTCTCTCTCTCTATTCCTTCTACCTTCCTCTTTCTAAAATCAATAAAAAATATATTCTTAAAAAAATCAACAGCAGAAAGATACCTGGAAAATCTCCCCAACTATATGGCAACAACTCACACACTTTTAAAGAGCCTACGGATCAAAGAAAAAATATGGATCAAATAAACACATTAAAAAAATTCCTTGTAAGTCACAAACTACTAAAGCTCACTCAAAAAGGAATCAATAACCCGAGTAACCATGTGCTATAAAAGAAACTGAACTTTTAGTTTAAGAACTTCACACAAAGAAAACTCCAGGCCTAGATGGCTTCACTGGAAAGTTCTACTAAATATTTAAGGTAGAAATAACACCAATTCCATACAAACTCTTCCATAAATTTAAATATTTAAAATTACCATAACAATAGCATCAAGACCAAGAAACACTTAAGGATAAATGTAATGACAGATGTGCAAGTTCTATACACTGAAAATTACAGACTATTGCTAAGAGAACTTTTTTAAAAATCTAAACGTGTGGGGATACATGAAGTTCTATGGATCAGTAAGCTCAATACTGTTAAGATACCAATTCTACCCAAATTCATTACAGATTCAATGCAATCCCAACCAATATTCTAGCAGGCCTTTTTGTAGAAATTGACAAACTGATTCTAAAACTCATACAGAAATGCAAAAGACTTAGCATACTCAAAACAACTTTGAAAAGTAAGAACAAAGCTGGAGGATTCACACCACCTGATCTTGAGCACTTACTAAGTTACAGTAATCAAGACGGCATTAAAAAACAAAACAACAGCAAAAACAGCGTGGCATAAGCATCAAGACATACATTAGGGCCGAAACCGGTTTGGCTCAGTGGATAGAGCGTCGGCCTGCGGATTGAAAGGTCCCAGGTTCGATTCCGGTCAGGGGCACGTACCTGGGTTGCGGGCACATCCCCAGTAGGAGATGTGCAGGAGGCAGCTGATCGATGTTTCTCTCTCATCGATGTTTCTAACTCTCTATCTCTCTCCCTTCCTCTCTGTAAAAAATCAATAAAAAATCAATTTAAAAAAAAAAAGACATACATTAGGACCAACGGAACCAGAACAGTGTGTCCAAAAATAGGCCCACATATATGTGAGCAACTGATTTATGAGGAAGGTGCAAAGGCAATTTCCTGGAGAAAGAATCATCCTTTCAACAAATGGTACTGGGACAACTGGGTATCAAATTTTTAAATTGATTTTTATTTTTTTTTATAATATTTTATTGATTTTTTTTACAGAGAGGAAGGGAGAGAGAGAGAGAGAGCTAGAAACATCGATGAGAGAGAAACATCGATCAGCTGCCTCCTGCACATCCCCCACTGGGGATGTGCCCACAACCCAGGTACATGCCCTTGACCGGAATCGAACCTGGGACCCTTGAGTCCGCAGGCCGACGCTCTATCCACTGAGCCAAACTGGTTTCGGCTTTAAATTGATTTTTAGAGAGGAAAACCTAAAATTATAAAATATCTAGAAAACATAGGAGAAAATCTTTGTGGCCTTGGCCAAGATTTCTTAGATACATATACCAGAAGTTCAATCCCTAAAAGAAAAAGTTGATAAATTGGACTTCATTAAAACTGAGAATTTTTTTGCCCTGGCCGGTGTGGCTTTGTTAGGTCGTTCAGTGCACTGAAAAGTTGCCAGTTCGATTCCCTGTCAAGTCACATGCCAGGGTTGTGGGCTCAATCCCCTGTGTGGGGTGTGCAGGAGGCAGCAATTCAGCAATTCTCTCTTATCACTGATGTTCCTATCTCTCTCCCCCACTCTCCCTTCCTCTCTGAAATCAATAAAAAAAAATTTTTTAAAGGGAGGAAACTGACACATGCCACAAAATGGATGAACCTAAAGGACATTATGCTAGGTAAAATAAACTAGACAGAGGAGGACAAATGTTTCCACTTATAGGAGTTCCTTAGAGTAGTCAAATTCATAGAGATAGAAAGTAGAACATAGGTTACCAGGCGCTGGGGGAGAGGTGATGGGGAGTTCCCTTTAAGGGGTACAGTTTCAGTTTGGGAAAATGAAGAAGTTCTGGAAATAAACACTGGGTGATAGTTGCACAACACTGTCACTGCACTTAATGCCACTTAAATGTACAGTAAACAATGGTTAAAGCGGTAAGTTTTGTTATGTGTATTTTACCACAATTTTTTAAAAAATCCTATTTTTAAAAAAAGAGAAGAAATCCCAAGCACACATCCCATTAGCCGTCAATACATGTCAAGTAGCCCTTGGAAATGCCACTGTGCGTTTGTGAGAGAACAAG